AGTGCAAGTGATAGCGGCGATTCTGATAATTAATTTAGTATATCGTAATAGTTTATTAACTATGATAAAAGTCTGTTGTAATAACTTGAAGTTGACGCGCTAGTGTAAAGTGGCCGACTCGCTTGGGTGGCCGACTCGCTTGTGAACCACGTTATTTCCTTTTTGGCGTTTTTTTTCTTGCTGCGCCGCTCAGCGAGGTACTCCCGCTTTCCGTGCCCTTTCCGCCTCGTGAGTAAGGCTTGCATGTAATCGTGCCAAAAAGCGCAAGGGACGAGCTGAACAAGTGGTCCGGAAAATTACTTGATTTGGAAGGATGAATACTATACATAGACCTTTTTGCAGCCCGCAAGGTCATTAGGTGCGAACTGTTTGACGGGCCGAAAATAAGATGTCTTGGCGGTGATTTGGCCTACGGGCGTAGCGGGCGTAGCAGGACGTTGCGGGTGGTTGTGTGAATGAGGAAGCGGGCAAGCGGTATGGTAATTTCATCTGCCCTTGTGTATGAGACATGTATATTTTGGTGTAACCGAGCAGAATTATATGCAGGGTATCCGACTAAGCATACATACCATGTGCACTTGCACTGGTCAAACATATGGTTTGTCCCTTTGATGAACTGGAAAAGCCAGGGTAAGCGACAGCGATGAGCATGAATCGCAGATTGGATCGCAAGACAGCAGCTCTGCGCAGTCCCAAACAATGCACATTGGCGGTCACACTGTAGGTGCTGACGTTGTCGAGGCTAATTAAGCCTTCCCGACATAGGAGCAATCTACCGCCAGCGCCCGACCTCCGATACTCCGATGTTCCGAGGACAGCTCGTCTACGCCGTATTATTTTCTCAATGTGTACAACAGCCTAGGAACCTTCTAAACCCTGTCCATGTTTTTGCACATGAAAAAAACAGGAAAATCGTCAGACACGTGCCGAAGATAATCATGCCATTTGGCCCAATGGGCAAACAAAATCATACGTTCCAGACCAATGAATAATTTAAACTCGCCAGGAAGCAAGCAGCCGAAAACGGACGAAAAGAAAAACAAAGTGACACCTCGTAAGTTCACAGAAAAATGAGCCAGATTAGGCGCAAATGAGCGAAAGCAAGGAAAAAAAAAGCTACTCGACTGCACGCATTGCCAAGAGCCAAACGTCACGAGCAGAAAAAAACGGAACATGCCGAAAAGGACGTCGAAAGAGAGAACAAGTTAACAAACCACCAGAAAATGCACATCGTGTTGGGTTCAACACCAATAGAATAAAATTCCCCACATATTGCCCGCTTACCCCTGCATCACAGTGCTGTCCCCTTCTCTCAGCACACACACGCTCACACCCCCATGTCGCGCATATGCCGCAGTGCCGCTTTTACTCTCAGCCGACCCTGGCAGCCACAAAAGGGTTGCGGTGCGGACAGTCGACAGGGCAGGGGGGGGCAGTTAACAAGGGGGTGGGTGGGATGGAAAGAAGGGAAAACCCAGGGCCCCACCGACGCAAAGGTAGGGCATTATACCTTATCGGCGCTAGATGGATTTTCAACCTCGCAGCATCAAGCCTATCTGGGTAAATTTCGCGGCGTCGCGTGCGAGGGAGCAAGGGGTGGGGAAAAAAGGTTGTTGTGCGGGCGGGGATGGGGGGAGGGGGCTGGAAACTGGGTTTGTCTGTGCGCGCTGCCCGCTGAGCTCTGTTCTCTTCTCTTCTGGCCGACAGGGGGAGAGACAGGACAACTCTTTTTGGACCCCACGACTGGCGAGGCTAGGGTGCTGGCGCGATCCCGACCGTTGGATTTAGCCCCGTGACGCGCTCGGCCTGGGCTTACTACTCGTTGCTCGCGGCTTGTTTTTCTTGCCGTTGCTGCACGCCATGGCTCGAATGGAGATATCAAGGGAGGGATGGTATTTTTGGCACTGAGCGAATCCTACAGGAAGGGCCGGTATACAGTGCGATGGATTGTGCAGCGGTGTGGCTGTCCCGGCGCAGAGGTGCCATGTTGCCGTTTAAAGGTCACGTGCCCGCCCGTCGCATGATGATGGCCTTTTAGGAAATTCCCACCAGATGCACCTTCTATTGCCTTTTGCGAGAGCAATATGGTTTTGTGTATGTGTTGTTGTTCTTGTTGCTCGTATACCAAATCCACTTTTGTCATTTTCTATACCTTTTTCTGCATATTGAACAGGTTACAAGCCCCGAGGCTTGTCTCTCTTCTTCAAACCTGCTTCTTTCCGTCATGGTGGAATCCTACTTTCTTTCTGTAATACCACCTACCATGTAGTGTACCTGCATGATAGGCGTTCCGCATCTTTATTGTCTCGTCCGTGACTTATCTTCTACAAATTCCTCAAAGATCCATGTTGTATGTCAAAAATACCCCAAGTGAATTCTGGCTGTACACATCAACCTTTTGTGAGTGTTTCCACAATGCCGAGGATTATCCGCGTTGTCGCCCATAAAGATGGAAAACCAAGGCTCCGACCTAGAAGAAACCGACCAAAACCCGGTTGCGCAATCGTCATTTCATCTCCTCTGGCTTTTCCAAATGAACCCTTGGATAGGAAATGCACTGTACAAGTCAAACCCACATCATTTTACAACTGTGTCTGCATTTAGTGGGCGCAACAAATCCACATGAGACTGATTGATCCGGCTCTTCAAGCCGTGTGATTGCAACAAGGACGCTAAACGACCCGTCGACTAAAGTTAAAAGTTCGGCCATCTTGAAATTCATGTGTTTGCGCGATGCAATGTTGGACATATCGTCTAATGGCTCGCTCTAGCGGTTGGATGCAGCGCAGGGTTAATGCTTGTGTTTGCATGTGCAGTCTTGACAGCAAAGCCATTCACAAGACTGCATGTAGCGCCCTTCGGGTTCGGCAATGTTGGGTTGGGCAACAAGTGCGCGCAAAACACGCAATTTTTTTTCAAATACATGCATCGTGAAGCGGGTCGGAGGTATTTTTGAACGTTCCAGATGTCTGAAGCTGATTTCACTTTGCACCTTCCTTTGTCGTCAAGATGCAGATTGTCAGTGCACATGTTTTGCCGTGTGCGGCACTAGGCTCCCCTTTGCGGAAGTTAGTGAACCCTCCGCCGTAGGCAGGCTGGGCGAAAATTGTTCAAGGTTTGCATTCAGGAACAAAGTGCCCTATGCTCCCTTCTTTTCCGTGCCGCTAAGAGATGTTCCGCGCCACGTATCCACTACAGCTTGGCAGCTTGCAACAAGCAGAATCAAACCACTAGTATGAAGCTGGAACCCGAGCAGACCAATCAGATAGAAACGTTGCGAGTCAAGCAGTCCAGCACGTCGTTCGACCAACTTGCCCAAACAACGTTAAGATGACGGAGACTATGGACACCATGCGAACTTGGGATCTAGCCAAGAACCCAAATGGGACTGTGCGAGTCATCTTCATCGTTATATCCGGATGTTTGCAGCGCAAAATGGTGACAGCAGAGACACTGTGGATCCTGGATGGCCCCTCTTTGGTGAAGATGGGCAAAGGTCTGGCCGCCACGACGATCGGTCGGGACAGCGGTCGGCCGTTGATTGAGTAGGCTCTGGTAGTTATCTCGTTGTGGTGACCAGAATAGGACATATGAAACTTGTTCATTCCCCATGATCATAAAAGTGGCCCGCTGAGTCGGCGATATTGTCGATGAAGGCATGCACGGTGCAGCAACCGCAATGTTTTCCCAAACCCGTTGATCATCCTCAGGGTTCTTGCTATGGCAACCCCATATTCATGCACGGTCGACGTATTTATGGGTTGAATATATCTACGGGTGGCTGATTGGACTGATTAATGGGCCGAAAAGATGGGATTTGGCGACGGTGCAGTGTGGAGACGGAGATGCTCTCCACATGACGAAGGTTTGCAGTTGCGGCCGGGTGGCTTGCTTGTACTTAGCCCTCTGGCTGGCGTCACGCATCATCTGCTTCAGCAACGGTGAAACCTGTTGGGATTGGACTGTGAAAGCAATGAAACGCGAGACGAGGAAGGAGGGTATACAAGCCAGCTATGACGACAAGTCTGGGACGGATCCCGGGGACCACGGGAGGCGGATAGGACAGCGCAGAGGGGACAGAAATGAGGGTTCGAGTAGCGCGACCCGGATCGACTGTACCCAGCATGTGGATAGGCTACTGGAGAAGAGCGGAGTTGCCTCTAGACCGCATCGGGCCGGACCCATGTCGACTGCCTTCACCGGTATACGACAGGGGTAACGATGGCCATGTAGGGGTCGTGTACGAGATGACGAGTGAGGAAGCGAAGCCTGCAAGCAGCCACCTCGTGGCGGCACAGCTAATAAGACGCCCAAGATCTCACCAAGCGAATCCGCAGTCACGGTTTGCGACCCGTCAGCGGTTGGCCATGTTGTGCCGTCACGGTGGACAGGCCATGGTTGGCTGCGTAACGGGCGCATCAAACGGCGCAGTGACAAGGTCGCAGCATTGCCGCTCGGAACGACAACATGCCGCCGCCTGTCAGCTCGCATGTAGGTTGTACATGTTCAGATGGTACATAGTAGTAGGCCGCGGCAAAGTCATCACCATGACCTCGACCACACTATCGAGCCTTAGCCGCCCCCCAATGGTCTTGTTGTTTGTGCACACTGGTGCACTAGCGCGAGCATGTGTTGGAGGAAAATAGCAACTCGCGCTGCCGCAAGCGAGTTTTGATTCGATGCCGACTCGGCCTTCGCCGTGTCGTCGCCCCCAAGACAGCAAAGCTCGCGGCATGGAACCGCTTGGGTGTCGCTGTCTGCAGCCGCATACGTGATGGGACCATGGCCCCGAGTTCGAGTTGACAGCGCTCGTCCAGCGCAGTGTTCATGTCTTGTTACATTGACGTGCAGGTGCCATGTCTGACTGTATACATCCACGCTTGCATTTCGACATGTACACGATGCCGTGCATGTCGGTCCCTAGAGGCCATGGAAACGGCTTGCATCGGTGACAAGAGCCACAGCCGGCCACTTGGATTGCAGCCGCATATCGCATCGCATCGCCCGTGTTTCCGGGTAGGGCCATGTCGTGCCCCGGTATTACCGCAGTGACTCGACAAGGTTCTGGCTACCAAAGAGGGCGGTGCCGTGGGTGCAACTCGATCAGTGTCTGGGTGGTGGGACGGAGCACCACGCTCGCTGCTCGCTAACAGTCATTACGCAAACGAGGCAATGGTCATGTGACTGTTGCGAAGAGGGCCCCACCTGCACTCGACGGCGCCGTCAAAGTCAGCCTTGTCAAGTGAATGGCAGGGAAATAAGGCCCCCCACTAGCCTCGTCGGTCTCGCTCTCAATTAACTCCCGACGCAGAAAAGACAACCCCTCTGGCGTGACATTCCCCAAACGACCTCTTGCTGGTCTGCTAGTCTGCTTGCGGCTCGGAGAGAGCGAGAAAACAATAACGGCACATGTCTGTCTGCGACTAAAGTGTAGTATGTAATTCAGAGCAACGTCGCTCTGTCAGCAGACGTCACTCGTACCTAGCTAGTGCAGGCGGCCGCGGCCCATATGCACCTGTATCTGTATATACACCCTATTCCTAGCAAGCGTCCTATCCGTGATGCATACATCCTGGAATAGTCCATATGACTCCAGGGATCGTGCTCTAGTCTGCGGAAAACGCCGTAGTGATGCAGTGGTGGAAAAGCGCTACAATCGTAGACCAAGAGAGAAGAAGAAGAGTAGAAAAAGCAAAACCAATAGCGACCGATATGGCAATCAGGGTATCTTGAACGAAAGTAAAAGTGAGACGGTGGAGTGGACCGCCATCTCTATGCTGATGTTGTCGACGATTTCCGTGAAGACTTGAGGTGTATTCTCTTGACGTGGTCTCTCTGTAGAAAAAATTAGCATTTGATTTCCTGCCACTACTAGCTGCTGCCCAAACTTACCATATTGTCCACGCGGCTGAAAACTCTGTCACACCCATCCCAGTCACACAAGACGCCCGGGTTGTGTTTTGCCTCGTGTCTCGCAAGATCCTTCTTGCTTGAGAATCCTCCTCCTTGAGATTGCGGGCAATCGCCGTGCCGGCAAAAGAATGACTTGGTGTGTCGCTTGTGGTGCTTGCGGAGATCGCATCCCCTGGTGAAGACTGCTCTTGATGTGCATCCTGGGTACGCACAACTCCATGTGCCGTTCTTGTTTGGGATGCCGTACGCTCGGAGGTCTGGCGATGAAGGGGAAAGCGACCGCGATAGTGCGGGGGGCGAAGTCTCTGATGGGATGCTGGATGCAATACCGTGGCCCACTGATGAAGATGTCGAGTGTGATCTTGAAGGTCGAGTAGCGCCGGGATACTGTGAGAGAAGGGTCGAGTCGTGGGAGAGAATGGGAGGGGATCCCATGTCAGTGTATGGAGGGTAAGCGTACGACGAGACTTGAGGCATCGGCACCGACTGGGCCTGCGAGGTCCAGAAGGGGTGGGGAGGGTATGGCGATTCCATGATGGGTCTGTAGTCGTGTGGAGGGGTATACATTCCACCGTGGCCGGCCATTGTTGTCGAGGGACGGTGTGACATATGGTGGAGTGGTGGTGAGTACATGATGCTCGGAGGTGATTGGCAAGTGCTGGAGGGGTACATCATGCCGTCATCAGGCGCCATGAGCACTAGCTCTGCCTCAGTAGAGAAGAATGTCATCCTTGGGGTCAACGTGGCTGTGTGTAAGTATGTGGGAGTCCAAGAGGAGTTGCGAGAAGGGAGGTGTGGTTGTCTTCAAATGGTCCTCAATCGACGCAAGCGTGCGTTGTATATCATGCGAGAGGAGTAGGCCAGTGCGTCTAAGCGGGAAATCCAGCAGATGGGTGAGAATGATCCAGTCTTAAGGCACAGACCCAGACTCTAGGGTTTAGGGTAGGGTAAGGCTGCTAGTCCGGGGTGTACAGGATTAGCCCGGCACTGCACTAGGGGGTGCTCTCCACAACGGTAAGGCTGGGGGGCATGTGAGACTTGACGAGAAGGAGTGGCGGGTAGTGGCGGTGTTGCAATGTCTTGCAGTGCCCTGGATCTCCACTTGGGTGCTTTGGACTAGAAATAGTAGAAATGGGGGCGAGGATGAAGAAAGAGCAGAACAAGAAGAAAAGGGTTAGGGCTGAGCAGGGAGTGGCAGGTCAGTCGAGTTAGTCAGTGTCAGTTGAGGTCATATATGGGACAGGTACATATGTAAGTACATGTGTACTATTCGATGCAGAGAGGGCAGTCTAGAGGCAGCCAGTGTTGGACCGGAGGAGACCTCTCAGTCGGGTCACATATCCGATGACGGGAGCAGTGCCGGCGGTGATTGTCGAGCGTGGGTGACTTGGCTAGTAACGCTCGCTGCGCTGGCCTCCCAATCTGATACCGCTGGGCCCATTGCAGCGCGGGTGCATAACCCTTTCACAATTGCAGTGGAGAGCGAGTGAGCCTCGTGGGCCGGCGAGCTGATCCCTGTGAATGAAGGTACCGCCCTGATGGCGAGCACGCCGCCCTAGCGCTGGTCTGGCAAGCGGCCGACTAGGGTCTAAGTAGCCTACGTGCAGGGTGAAGAGCATCCACCATTTCGCTTGGGAACGACCGGTCGACGAGGTTCATGCGACTCTGGCGGCCAAACGGCTGGCAGGGCGTCTGGCAAGCAGGCGTGCAGCAACGAATCCTCCGTGCATGGCCCTTGGTATGGATGGTGCAAGCAGGCAGAGCCGGCCACACATGCACACAGACACGGCATCGCAACGGGGCCCGGCGGGGGGGCCAGGCAGGCTGCGACGGCATCCAAAGCCACACAATGGGCCCGGCTAGTGCGGCGGGCTGTGGAGCGACATTCGAAGGAAGGGCGGTAGCAGTAGCGTGGGTGTGTAGGCCGCGAGGAGGGGCAGCGAGATACACTTTCCATGGCTTTGGCTTTGGAGATGATGGCCTGCCGATCGCAGGCAAGGGAGCAGACGTGACGAAAAGCGGCCTGAGTTCAGTCGCTTACGCCGGCAAAAATTTGGCGTCGTGCACGGGGACACGCCCCGCGCTACCTACTTGCGCATGCCTGTCGGTCACTGTCTGTCGGTGTCTGCTCTCTCGTCTTGTTCTGGCGGCGATGTTGTTGCTGGTGCTGTGACTGTGCATGAGCCGGCAGCCGTGTGTGTATTTTTAAACCCTGCAGCCAGCTCCCGGCTCCCAGCAACCAGCTCCCACCACCCATCAGGCAGCACACCACGCCCGTCACTGACGGACGGCCAGGCCCTGGGCAGCCGACGTTTCACGCCCTCCCTCTTGCTCCTCCACGTCGGACCACCGTCGGCCATTCACTCCTGCTCACCACTCGCGACGGCCCCAGGCAGCGCCCTGCAACGACAGTTTGATTGCATTTCAAATCACGACTCGTGTTTGTCAATCAAGCCGGCCTCTTGCTTCCGACGTGGTTGGACAAGCACGCAAGAAACATGTCCAACAGGCGAGCACACTGGGCCTAGCTGTGGATCCACTCGCTGGCCGTGGCAGACGCCTACAACAGCCATGCGGCTAAACGGCCGTGCTGATGCTCGCCATACGCCTTCGTATTGGACCTACACACTCCTGTATGCTGACTTGGGAGGCATAGCTGCTGCTGATGGGCCCTCTGCCCAAGCCCTCCTTGCCGTGACAGTGACGCAGGGGCGGACAGTCTGTGTCGGGGAGTCAGACCACGACGGCCCGCACACCATCTCGCTCCAACACCAAGTCGAGTACTAGTGTCTGTGTATTGTATGTATCGTATGTATGTCGAAGCAGGGGCAAGCTTGGTCCTTCTCTTCTGCACTCCACTAGCCGAAGCCTACACACATCTCGTCATCCCCAAATAGTCTGCGAGCAGTTAGCATATGCGGCACAAGCTGCAAATTTGCACTCGCTGTGTCGCTGCTTTCCAAGACAGGTAAAGATGGTCCCCGAAGCTGAGGCAAAGATTAGTCACCTTCCAGTGTTGTTACCGTCTCCGTCGGGGCTCCAGGTCTCGGTGTAATATTCCGCCAGCCACTCATGCGTGGTGAGAAGCGACTCTGCGTTGTTGGGCGCACGACGACGCGGGGTCAAGATACGCCCGTCGAACCTACCATAGGATCAAAGTGACTTGACTTGATGGTGAGCGCGAGGGCAAGGGCGAGACCAAGGGCAAGGGCAAGTGCTATACTCTCGCCCCTTCCTTACTACCCCCCTCTGCTCCTGCCAGCCCAACAACAACCCCAACACTAGCTTACTACACCTACTCTACTCTACTCCATCCCGTTGCCCATACAACTCTTCGCCCTCCACATATCCACCACCCGGTCCACCACACAGCCCGCAACAATGTGCACATACCAACGTACCCATCACTGACCTCATCCGCCCTTGCAGGCCAGTGCTTCGGGAGTTACTAATCTTGGAACTCTCCACAATCAGGGCACTGTCTCTTGTCTCCAGGGGACTGGCATATCAAGACTAGAGTAAGGCTGACTTGACAGTTCAGCACCATAGTGCTCCCGAGGTGATGCCTAGGCTCAAGGGACATGTGTCTGGCCCTGGCCATCGTATGGATAGTCCTCATTGCAATATACCCAGTCTCCCAACCAACACAACACCCGCTAGCATGTACCCTGAGCCGTATCGGCCCCGAGCGGCTATGGCATACTGTCCACAAGTGATGATCTCAAGCAAGAAACAGAAAGAACGCGGTCCGTCCTCAGGCTTCCCACAATGGCTCTGTGGTCATAGTCAGGCCACTTCAGGAACCCCGAAACTCTTGTCCAGGTTTCTTTTTTCGTGTTCAGACATGGCTGAATGACCAGTATGGAACTGCCATCTCCATGTCATATCAGTGGATGCGTACTGCGCAGACAAAAAAGAATTACTTGATGCCAAGACTATCTGCTTAAGGACCCCTCATAGCGCCGATGATCCTGACGACATCACTCATCACAATCTTGGATTCTTGCTGCGTAGACACCGCATGTCTACAAACGCTTCGTCAACGGTTCAATCACAGAGAAACCCAAAGTCAAACTGCCGTCAAAGTCAATACAGTTGTATTCTAGACTCGAATACTTTACCGGATTGTCGAATAGAGACTTTTTCTAAGTAGCCAATCAAGCTTCGAATTTATCAGATTGACTATCTCGATCTCGTCATTCCCAACCTCTTTCAGTCTCTCAACGCAGAATCGGCTCTACCGCCACTACATCCTATTATTAGACACCACCGCCTTTTAAGACTCATCTTAACACAGGAAAATCAAGGTGGAAACGTCATGGTAGCGGTGAAACGTGGCGGTGTTCATCTTTCCCGCACAGCCTCAATCTCATCCCTCACAGCGCCGAAACACAAACCCATCTTTGGTATTACCTACTTGGAAACCAGGCATCAATGTCCTCCTTACTACGGGGCCGCCGAAATTATATTCCCTGCGTAGTAGCAGTGCCGCGTCGGTGAGCGTGTAAGAAACAACTCCCGATCGTACTAGGGTCCCTACACTAACAAAGTGCAGAGTTCGGACCGCAGTGGGCTTAGCCCAAGCTCTGAGCTCCGGTTCCATCGGAAACGTACCCTTCGGAATATGTCACAGTGCTGTACTGCAAGGTTTTTGGACTCGGCAGTTGATTGTGCAATGACAAAGTTCAACATCAAGCACACAATTGGCACAAACCGTACTCTGAAGCTTTGACCCCGCCTGCAGTGCACAATGAGTAGAACTCCTAAACAAAAAGAACAGAAGATAGAGGAACCTAGCTTTTTGTCATTGTTTGCTTCAATCTGGTTGATTCCTGGTACTTGTCTGCACATCATCCTCTGCATCGGTGCAAGTCCCAGTGAGTATACTTCCAGATCTGAGAGGCGATTATAACACAAGCAATGCTGACCTTGAACTTGAGGTGACGCAATTTCTGTTGCGCTGACCTCAGACAGACATTTTACGCAGTTGCTGGAGTCCACTCTTCCACATCTCGAAAATCCATCACTTTGTCACGACCGCCGTACCTGCCCTGCGTATCCCACCAATCTCGTTCTACGCTTATCTCTGGTCGCCATCTCATTGCCTTCCTCAACCTCTCTTCTCCCTTATTTTCAATCACGTCAGCGACCAGTGATCCAATGGCAGGACATGCCATGAATCCGTTTCCAGAACCTCCAACGGCAACAATCAAGTTTGATATCACGGGATGCCTGTCAATGAGAAACACACGATCAACTGTATCTGCGTCCCAACATATACGTGCGAAGCTGAAGCTGCGTTCGGAGAGTTGTGGCATTGTCTCTGAAAGAAGAAGACGCATACGTGATTCGGAGTCCTTGGGAATTTGATGACGGGCAAACGGAACGGACCGCATCTTGCCATTGTTGTAAATCGGATTTATGTAACCCGGGTGTTCGTCGCAGAGCTTCATCTCGTGGTTTTCGATGTCTGGCTCAATGAAGAAGCCTCGATCTACGCCATACAGTACGGGTAAGTTACGGTAACCCTCTACCTCCTCGACGGAGAGAGGTATGTGTGCCAGTGTCCAGGCTGTAGGTCGAAGTTGCTGCTCAAGGTCCACAAGCAGGTCGCTGTTTGCGCCGGCTGCCAGTATGGTCTGTTTCGCTGCATACTCGGTACCATCTACGACCCTCACTCCTGTGACATGACTCTTGTCTGAGTTGTAGAGTAATTCCTGAACTTTTCCTGTGGTTCCTGTTACAAAGCTCACACCAAATCTTACTGCCTCATTGTACATGGCCTTCAGAGCGCCACTCGCAAACACCCAGCCTGCGCCGCTTTTCTTCCAGAATCCTCTCCAGCCTGCAAGCTCGCCTTGCAGCACGTGCTTTGGCATCGTAAGCCGGAAGTCCTCTTTGGTATTGAGCGCCGTTGGTGTGATCTTCTCTCCTTTTGCATACTCCACGCAACGTTTGTATGCTTCGTCGCCTACAGCTGCCATGATGAAGCCAGTATCATGGTAGAAGGATGAGAAAACGGGGTCGTATTTCCAAGCGTCCATTGAAAGTTGAGTTATGCGGTTCCAGAAGTAGTCCTCATTGCTGTCAGAGTCAGATGGCTCGTTTGCTTCTTCGGCAATCTTGTTCAAGTCGTTGCCAGCCGAGATGGCAGAAGGGAATGGGCTGCCGTCCAGTACAGTGATGGAAGTGTAGCCACGCCGGGCGAGCTCGAGGGCAATTGAACACCCCCATGATCCGGCACCTATGATGAGAATATTGCTATGGGATGTCTGTGTCATGGTGAAACGGAGGGGTAGCGTACACTACATATTGTAGCCGCGTTGGAGGCCTCATTGTGCGCTGTCCTGGGTGGAGCCACCTTCTGTTCTGAGACAACTGCATTGCATACCACTAAGCGAGCTGCGTTATCTAATGAAACAGGTAGCTTTTTTTTCTGTCCTCCTATTCTCTGACGTGACCATGACCATTATTTGGCAAGCTACACAAGTGGGGCATATAGGCAAGTCACAGGGCTGCTATAGCACGCGTGATCACGTGTAGATAAGCGCGTTACCTCAAAGTGATGCAAATCCCCGCGGCATACAACTTTATGGCAGAGCGGATCAATTAACCCATCGCACGCCTTGATGATTCGCATACGCCCGACGATATCGCGCAACATATGGCGATCACATATATCTCTTCTGCCACAGGGCCAGACGCGCTTTGTTACCGCCAAAAATGGTGGCAAGCGTGGGCGCCCAAAGGGTGTGCAGAGTTACTGGTCCGAAGAGAAGCTGGCGACAGATGAGAAGTATCCCTTGAGCCACACCATGAAGGAATTGATACACCCATCCCTCGAACCCAAAGTCAAGAGAAAGAGAGGCGCAAACACAGGTCCCTCGGCCAAGTCTGGCGGCGTTCACGTCAGAGCACAAATTGTAAGTCCTGATCTGTGTGGTACGTCGCGCCCTCTTTAGAGCATACAATTAACTAGGCTGATACTGATGCAAAATCTGTATAGATGATGTGATCAACTACGCTGGCCCCACCTTGGAAAAGCACAAGGGCTGTGACATCCTCGACATCAATCCTGGCGCTGGGCTCTGGTCACAGAAGCTTCACGACTACCTTCAGCCACGAAGCCATGTGCTGCTCGAGCCCCGCTTCGATAGATTCAAGGACTTCCTCGAACCTCTGCTTAGCGCGCCCGACTCCAAGTACTCGCTCATAGAGAAAGATCCGACTGATCTCAACACATACACCGACATGGTCGCCGAGGGGGTCTTTCCTCAACAGACGATACGAGATTCACGCGATCCAAAGGCTCAAGAACCGAACAACACACTACTGGTGACAGGGTCTCTGGTTTGGGACCCTCCCATGACCGGTCTTGGGTTTGACTCAATGGCCAAACAAGTTCATTACCACCTCAGTGCTGCTGCTCGGAGCAACGAGCTGTTCCATGCCTACGGTCTTGTTCGCACACTTTTCTGGGTGCAACAAGAGGATTTTGGTACTTCAATGGCTGATTCTATCAGCACGATGTACAAAACGAATCGATTCATGGAGATGTCTCACAACATCCAAGTATTTGTGAACGGGACCCAAACTCCGCGCAGATTGGGCAAAGGATCTTCAGGACGTGAACCTCAATATGCCATTGAGAGCACTATTCGTGCTCTGAGAAGAGGTAAAGAACTAGGCATGGAGCTTCCACCGCATCGGCGCGATCTTGTCCATGAGTTTGCTGCCGATATTGAGCGCATCTCGAATGGCACAGGCATGATTAAAAGTGGCGAGATACAAGAGTATCTCCATGAGCAACAACTAGCGGGAAAGTCGACCACCGGTCTACTGAGTGAAGGACTTATTGAACACTATGAAACCGAAAAATTCATACGACAGCAATATCCTAATATCGAAATTTCCAAAGGAAAAGATTCCAGGATGCGCAAGAACATGGTGCCTGAAGACCATCCTGCCAAGGATCGAATTCGTAAATATCTTGCAGATTGTGCACAGGTCAATTTCACCCAAAGGCTTAAATCACAAATTGAAGCGATAGCCGATATTGGTGAGGCCATATATGAACTCGAAGGCAAGATTCTCCGCATGAAGGATGAGCCCCAAAAAGACGCGGAAATGGCAAAGTTGGAAGAGCTAAACGCCAGCTGGGAGGAGGCGAACAAAAAAATGCCGCTCAACTATGCTCGCGCTCCAGCTACCGAGCTTGACGACCGCCTGGCTCTACGGGCACCCCCTGCGCCTCGTGTTCAGTGGGATTCTCGTCCCTTTGAACCACTCACCATGTATAACAACGAAGCTTGGCCCACAAATCGTCTCTCTCTCATCTCCACCGAGCCTATTCCACAGCCCACCGCAGAATATCACGATTATTACGATTGGCTGCATGACTTTATACACGGGCTCTACGCTAATCCCTCGGACACCATTCCCGAAGCCCTTGATAAGATGCAGCACGGACTTCGCGATATCATGGAAAATTGCCCGACCTTAAGGGACCCAGACAAGGGCGGGAGGCTGCAAATGGATCACTTTAGGGTCAGGTTGCTCACGCCGGAGATGATTACAGAAATGTTGGATGCGTATATGAATTGGCCATTCAAGGCGCCGGGAAGCGACCACAGCAAGTTCTTTCGGCACCGGAGTTCGGCACATCATTTCACTTCTAAACAGACTATGTTGACCTGAGCGAACGGCACGGACTTGCGGGTTGTGGGTTGAAGGGGTATGAGCTTGGATGAGTTGGCATGCATTGGCAGTCAATTGTAGGTGTGCTTGTGATACGTCACATTTATCGAATGGAACCCTATATCACCTTGTCCTGAGCGTGTTTCGTCCTTGGCAGAGCAAACTGTCTTTTCTGGGTAATCGTGTACCTCGGCTTTGCTCTGTAACTTGTGTTGGCATGTGGAGGAGTTGGATGGGTTTCTCAAGTGGATCAGTGGTGTGATGTGACGTGGATGTAATATCTTCAGTTCCTAGACATGCTCAGTCTACTAGATATTTCAGCTGCTTCTGCACTGGTGACAATATTCATTATAATACTCGTGGTCCAGGTGACAAATTGGCAACGAGCAGTGTAAACAAAATTTGTGCAAGGCTGGTCTTTTATGCGTGCCACAACTCTGCTCTGGTATTTTTAAACCTATAGGCTGGGAAAGATGGACATGAAGTATATTGCAATGACACGACCGTCTTTGAGGTGATAACAGTGTTGAAGATACCTTCTGTAATAGAATGTAAAAAAAATAAAAGGCTTTCCCGTTATCTCTTGTTGAGCACCCACCTTGACACGTCTAACCCGCAACTACATTGCATCACCTTCCTCCATCCATACCACTTCTCTTAAGTAAAAGCGAGTCCACAATATAAACTATACGTATGCATTTCAACAATGGGGGGTAAAGCGAAACAGAACTCCGCACGCATTCACTTCCATAACCAAAGATGCGGAACCAGCGGCAATGCGAAGTCAAAAAAAAATTAACTCACGATATAACCACCCATTTTCCAACCGCAGGACCAACCAAAACGCCTCTAGACAAATTATCCGAAAAGCGCCACCATAGACACATATCTGCAGGAAGTAACATAAACCAGGACCCCTAGCATCCACGACCAACCAACCCACCAACCACAACCGCCCTACCTAACCCTACCCTTACCCTTCCCAACCTTCCAATGCCCAAACCCTCCATCCATCACTCCATCCCCTTTCCTCTCCCCCCACCTACTCAACCTGGGCACTCACCACCTGCCCACCCACCCCTCCCACCTCGCTCGCTAACCCCTACCCACACTAATCCCAACTGGGTATAATCTAGCGAAAGAAAAGAACCCACCCACCCGGCTACCCATCCTCGCCTCGCCTGGCTGCGACCGGGGCGACCTTTCGTTCCCCACCGCTCGCTCGCTCGCTCGCTCCAAAACTGACTACTTACCCGCCCACCCTTGTCGATTTTTTTTTGCTGTGTGTTCTTGAAGGGGAAGGGGGGAGGGGGCTGCTGATGCATGTATGTTTTATTCCCGCTTCCAAGTCTTGAATAAAAAAAAGGTTATGGGTTTAGTTACTCCTTGTTTTTTTTTCCTACCAGCGATTTCAATTTAAGGAATGGGGTTTATTAGTATGATTTAAGAAATTCGTGGAGGGGGTGGGATTAAATGGTATCATCGGGTCTTAGGATGATGATGATGATGATATGAGAGTTACGCTGGGTATGTCGGTTTACCGAAATGGAAAAGAGGAAAACAAGGGTTGACGATGATGCTGATGAGGATGATGACGATGTGGGAAGAGCGCGCGCTAAGGGGGACACCAGCGACCCGCGTGTATGTTTTCTAGAAAGAAGAGGAAGGGAGACCGGGGTATGGGTGAGCGAGGAGTGGTAGCATAAGAAGTGGGGAGGGGAGAGAGCAGGGGTAGGCGATTTTTTTCTTCCTTTGCCTTTTGAGCGATTGCGATTGCGGTGGACGCGCAGGAAGGGTGGTTTAGGAGTGATTGGTGGGAAAGGGTTGAGGACTAAGGACTAGGGGCGCGTGGGTATGGCCGCGTTTTGCATTTGTGTTCAGAGGAAGCGAGTTTGGGCGAGTGCGAGAGCGAGAAACTTAGGGAAGTGGTTGGTGGATGGTGGATGGTGGATGGTGGTGGTGGTTGATGATGCGGGGCGTACGTATGCGTATGCTACATAGCGGTGTACTATGCCCCCCTCTCCCTCCCTCCCCATCTCTTCGCCCATGTTCGACCGCTTCCTTGCGTTTGGTGCAAAGGATTTGTGTCTTGGCCCGGTATCACTTACCATAGCCATGTGTAAAAAAGAACAGGAACGGTGTGGGAGGAAGAAATGGTCAATCATTGCTCCTCTCAGTTGTTTTCTGTTTGCCTTTTCGTCCTTCGTATCGGTGCCCCGGAATCTTAAACGTTCGCCTAGCCCTGCTCGTTTTCTTGTGCTTCTGGACCTCTGAGCGGTACCGGCGTCCCGAGAAGCGAGCATGGCAACGGGCTAGGGGGCTAGGGACTAGCATGGGGGGACTCCGTAGCGGAGATTCAACTATTTGATCGGTATATGGGGGTTCTTGCAGAATCGGCTTAGTAGCCCTGATTGTGATGAGGGATTAGCGAGCAGGGGGTGGCAGGGAAGGAGGGGAGGAAGGATACGGTGTAAGCTTTATGTTTTGTTGTAATGGTTTGTCTGATGTATGTGCCATGCTGTCATACGACGGCAATTAGACAGACTTTGGAGAACAATCCCGGGTATGTGGAAATGGCAGGTGGTCGGGGCTCCCGAAATTCTGCGTATACGAAACCCCCAGTAAAGTCAAGTACCGTTACATCGCTCAGTTCAAGTTTCCCCCCTTCTTGACTACGTAACCCGTACGTGTTGTCCGTGAAAGCACATGCTCCTTTCTGTGAAGCGGGTAATGCGCGTGGGTACATGACGGAAACGGTGGACTGCACTGCGGGAGAGAGAGGGAAGCAAGCACACGCGCATGCACACATACATGCATGTTGCATATTTTTTTGTCCTCCCTTCTCTCCATCTCGCTCTTTAATCCAGTCGCCAGGTACACACAACAACGGCTGCATATCGCATACAAACTTTAAAAAAAAAATAAGACTTCTTTCCAAACCCTCCCCATACATACGCCCTGAAAAACGCCCAAACCCCATCTATCCTAGCAATGAAGTACATAGCAACCCAGCCCTTTATCCGACCCGTCTAAGAAATAGAGACAAAAACGCCCGATTCCCTGGACAACACTTACGCATGACCATGCCAGCGGCTGACTCGCTTGCTGAAACGCCAATTGAAAATTACATCGAATATGCAACGCTACGTCAAAGCACACACACGCACCCCTCCCCCCAGTCCTCTCTTCTGCCGTCCTCTTGTCTCTCTTGCGTCTTACCCCATGGTGGGCTTTGTCCTTTGCCCTGATTCGTAAGATTCCACAATCATATCAGACGGCCGCAAGCAAGTTGAGCGCAGTGCTCAACTCGCGGCGTGCATCAAGCTCGTCAGTGCCGTCATGCAGCCGATAGTGGTGTGCCACAAGACGCAGCGTAGCCCTGTAAATCCTGTATCTAGAATTTTTTTATCTCCATCAGTTTTTGTGAAACCCCGTCGAGTGAACTAAAGTCGAGGTTGGAATGGGATGGGGGGAGGGGGAGTTCGGGGTAAATCTGAATCCGGGCGTACTATACTCGCAGTTTATACTACGGAAGAAATGTAGCAAAAAGAGAACTCACATCAAAACCCTAACCTGTGCAGACCCTGTCCTCGGCGCACACTCACCCAAGCCCGTCAAAAACGCCTCACTAGCGTCCGCCATACCGCCGCTCATAAGTGGATCACCCCAGATGATATTGGAGAAGCCGACGAGGCCAACAACGAGCCTGGTATGCTCGTCGAGCAAAATATTATCTGCGTTGCACACATTGGGCGCGACGAGGCGCGGCTCCGTCACTTTATCCAAATGGTGCGCGTGCTTGCCGATCCAGTAGCGGATGCTCTCCGAATGCAGGTTGACCAGCATGTCTTCTGCGTCGCGCAGCGTCGACTCGAGCAGTCCGAGGAACGCTTCGCGCCAGGTCGTACTGCCTTTCTTGGCCAAGACGCGGTGGGCCTGCCCGAATTGGGGCGCTGATAGTGCCGTCAGTGAGCGCAGGTGCATGCCCATGGTGTGATCGATTGCATTGCGTTCGCTGGGGGTAAGGTACGGTGCGAGTTCTGAGAGTCGCCGGCCGGGTATGTGGCTCATTAGGAGAAACGGCCGCCCGAGTGTTGAGCTGTGAGTGTCGTATGTGATGAGTTGTGGAACGGGTATTCGGGTGTATTCGCGGATCATCTCGAGTGTCTTGCGTTCGGTATCCAGAATGTGTTTCTCGTGGCGGAGGAGTCGAACATTGTGTGCTGGTGGGCACTTGAGCACCAGACTGTTGCCATCTGCAAGTCTAGTGATGTATATCTGCCCAAGATAGCCTTGGATTACTTCCACCTGTTGAACTGTGACTTTTGACGATCGATATACTGTTCGAATCAGTCGTTGTATGCTCGAGGTGTCGAGTGTAGTGACGGTAGTCTGGATAGACGCTCTTGACAGAGATGAAGACGCAGACGATGTCGAAGACGAAGATGTGGATGTAGAAGACCGAATAGGCTTCACAGCATAAGTGCCACGGCTCATATTGGGGGGTTTGTAAATGACAGCATGTCGCGGGGGGTGATGCATTATGTATCATCAGCCGCTCACTACCCATGTACTAGGTTCAGGCGGGAGGTTTAGCGCCATTTCACACCACAGATGCTCCAAGCGCTTCTAGTTGCTCCCTGCCATGGACCGGCCCGAGCAAAATGAATGATTCGTGTCTATAACATCATCTGTGCCTTTCCTTTTTTAAACTCATCGTAATCGATGCCCGACTACTGTCCGGTGAAGGACCGGAAATAAGACCATCACTAGAGGAACCCGAGCAAGATCAAGTGTAATAAAAACCACTCACTGCAGGAGAATCTAGGCCTAAAACTGGCTTTATTCAGCTATTCTCTCGCGAATATACATCAGCACATTGACAAATTGAGCACATGTGTAAGCCATGTTGGCCATGCTTTCAGCTACATGCTCTTGGGCTGAAAAGCCCTATGGGGCATTCATACGTGTACGGCACCCGTTATGCAAGTACCGTTCTACTAGTGCCTAAACTAGCATATGCGAATATCATGATGAACAAGGACGCGAGAGGCGTTCGTTTAAATGCTGGTGTGGCGCGAGGAGCGTTCGTCAATGTTGACTAAATACGGTTAGCTTCTAGGTTGATGGATCGCCTATCGGAATCCAGAAGTTGTCATGGGTACCAGAGGACAGAAGGCGCATAAGTCATTAATGCCGCTTAGTACATGCTGATGAAATTGGAGAGGCAATCGATGGATTTTTGAATATCGTGTAGGTTATGAGGAGAAGGTATTACGATCAGCGTGATGTTAACAATTGATACAGAGTCAACATTGACGTGGCGTCTTTTGCATCAGGGTAGAGCCCTTCAACCATCCTTGACTATATCGGATACCCTTCCGTCATTGGTGTGATGGGCCTTCAACCCGTCCGTGAAGCTGATGTGTAAATCCGATATGTCGGAGACGAGTCGCAACAAAGAGCTGACGCGTGGAGTCAGCACTTACATAGCAGCTATGCTCTTCACATAGTCATACAAGGCCTTCCGTTGTTTCACATGTGCTACTCCACCTCCAAGCCACAATAGCCACAGTCGGAGGATTTGTTGTTTATGGACATTGATGCGCTAGCGTCTTGGCCTGAAAGTGACAGTCCATAGAACATGCCGATTGATTCGTATGCGATCACTCATCTTCTTTGCTTTCAGTGATTTTGCTGGCGTCCTTTGTCATCTCTGGAGCAGTGGAGGATATTGGCTGGCGTAACTCCTCAATATTGAAGCGTTTGAGTTTCTCAAAATCGGGGCCTACTACGCTCATGCCAATGACGTTCTGTCACGAGTAAGCGGCTGTTAAAATCTTACTAACCCCCCCACGCAGCCATCTCGTACCTGGTAAATCTCCACGATTATGAGCAAATCATATCCCTTCAGGTCGACCTTGTGGCCCGGGCCTACTGTAGCTGCAATCGTTTTGATAACATCGTCTCTCAGGAACTCCTTGTTATTGCGAATTGATGGTCGTATAGCGAACTGGGATCACCCTACATTAGCGAGAAGCTTTGAATGGAAATGCTGCGTCATTCGACACCGATAGGTCAGGCTAACCTTTTTCCCCGCTTGATCCGGTCCATGGAAGTGAGGCGCCAAAACTTGTTTCGCAACACTCTCGAGACCCTGGGGAGTGGCTTTCTCGGTTGCAGTAATAGGTGTTAGTCGCTTCACGTAGCTCAAATTTCTCGGCTGGGCACCATCCGCAATATCTTGGCAAATTTTGTGGACAAAAGACACAGGTTCCAATGGCGATCGAGTCCTGAAAAACACCACTTGTAAGGTCAGTACTGGTAAGAGGAGATGCTACGGTACTCTTACAGCATTGAGTGTCAAGCTTGACTGATGTAAACAATGGCTTGGTAGTTGGATTGCGCATGTCGGCAAGCTCTTTGTTGATCTGAGCCTCAATATCTCCTCCCTCGGAATCAGAATCGTCATCTGCAGCTGTCTCACTAGATTCAGTCGTCCCATACAATTTGGTAGCGTACTGTCACCGAATATCAGCATTTTCAACACTACAATGTGCGGTTGCTGGCGCATCAAGCAATGGCTCACTTCTTGGAATAAATCTCTCAGATCAGCCACGGATTTGGCTTCCTTCTTCATGGAGCACGTGGCCCATATGCCAGCGTCCCCAGCTTGGATGGCGCGATTTGACATGTCTCTCCTGGGCATCTCCCAATTTTTCTTACCCTAGGTAATTAAAGTCAGGTTCTGTGAAACAAAACTGCAGCTGCAGAACGAAAATGGCATCGTGAAGCCAAGGCTGCAAAGACAGGCATAGATGTCGCCGTCTTACGAAAAAAAAAGAAAAAAACACATATACCTTGGCTCGTTTGTTACCTCCAGCTTGCCGCTCGCCTGACTCGGCTTTGCGTTTTCTCGTAGCATCGTGTGCTCCAGGCATTGTGTGGATAATTCGGGGTTAAGCAAAAGGGGTGGAGGTGATTGGATGAACGATGCTTCAGAATGTTTGGTTGTAGGGGGAGAATCGAGAAAAAAAGAAACTAGTCCAATTGCAGCCGCTAGCGCGGCTGCTCCCGCCTAGATGCTGCAGCCCACACTACACCTCTCAGCCTCATTCAAGCTCACCGCGAAACCTTGGTAAACTTGCTTTGTTCAGTGGCGCACCCCTAGCTCTAAAACTTCGGCTATCGATGCCACGTGTCGGCGAGGTTCAGCAGCTGGCGCTTCGTTAAGGCGTCTAGAACCTATCCCGTGACGTGCCTTTGCCGAGCGCCAGGAAACAGGCAGTAGAGCTTCCGGTGAACGACGGCGTCCGGGAATACGAGAGAATCTGCCAATAGAAAGCTAGGTCTTCTTTCATCTGATCATGGGTGCAGCCATATTTGGGTTCGTTAACCGAGTAGCCCTAAACGGTATGCTTAATGTGCCACACATGTTGATTGCTCATGTTTACATCAGCATCCACGGGCGAGGACACTATGATTACTGATCTATTACACTTGGAGAATAGAATGTTAATCTTAGTCTTGAGTGATATGGCAAGTCAACGCATGCATGGGCAGAGGATAAACAAATGGCCCGAAGCGCCAGCACTAAGATTGAATCTCAAAAATACAAATCATAGACATCACACATTCTAAGTCTTGCAAGTATTTTTTATGTTGGCGACCATCGCCAAAAAGGTTAAATTCTAATTAAGTTTCCTAATACCCGATATACCGAAAAGCCAATATTATGTAAGTAACTCGCGAGAGAAATCCCAAAAAAGGATCATGGGTATATAGTTGGGTATATGGAAAATCGACAACAAACAAAAGGAAAAGGACATAACCTTCGTCGAGTTCGTTATCGTGAGAATCGTAAAAAGCATCATTACCGGGCCTCCAACGGCCAGATGGTGGAGAGAGGAGAGAGAAAAAAAAAGCAGCAATGGAGAAATGCAGGGCAAGTCGCCACAGGAGATTGAGAGAAGAAATCCAAAAGCCAACCGAACGCCGATGAAACATGAAAAGTAAAGTAGGAAAGAAAAAAAAGTGCAAAACCAATAATATGACAAGAAGAAAAATAGTTGTTATACAAGCAACCAATCAGAGGCAGCTCGGTCAACAAGCTCTCAAAAGGTTGTTTTGTTTAGGCTTCGCCACGACGCATGAAGCCGAAGCGCTTCTTCCTCTTTTCAGTTTTGTCAGCGCTGAGCAGTGGATTGGGGTAACCACTGAGGGCAGCTTCAGCATTGAGACGTTCTGCCTTTTCAAAATCAAAGGGGCTAGACCATTTTCGCTGAGGAATCTCTCCCATCTTTGTGCTGTCGGAGGCAAAGGTGTAGCAGGAGGGTGTGTTCTTTTCCATGCGGCGTCTGAAGTGGATGGTTGCGGGGGCGTGGTCAAGTAGTGGTGGTGGAGTTAGATACTCTGGCTTGGATGGAACAGGAGGTTTGGGTGGCGCAGAAGCAGAAGCAGAAGCAGTGGGAGTGGGAGTGGCAGACCGGCGGGGCGCAGGAGCAAATGTTGGAAGTTTGGGGGTAGGTTCGTGAACATGTTTTGGTGTCGGGGCACGCTTTGGTGCTGCGACGGGCTTTGGTGCTACGGCAGGCTTTGATACCGGGACTGGCTTTGGCGTAGGGGATTTGGTGATGGTATGGGAGAGATGTTCCTGAGGCCATGGCTCACGTGGATCTTGGAAGGAATCAACGCGTTGCTTGACACGGCTGGTCTTTGTTGGGGCACTGCCTAGGGTGCCCTTGAAGACACCAGTGGTCTGAAGCTCCAGAGGATCGACAGGCACATACAGAGGCAATTGGGGTGCTGTGTGGGCCTTCTTTAGCTCAGGCGAAGCCATTTGAAGTTTCTTTGGCTGGGGAGAGGACATGGGTGAAGTAGTGCGGGATGAGCTGGAGGTTGACTTGACCGCACTAGAGCTGTTGCTTGATGAAGTAGCCTTGCGACTTGCCCTTGGCCTCATCATGGCAAGGTGAGGATGACTGGTGCGTCCTTGTCTGATGGGCATGCGGGTGACTACTGGGCCGAGGGAGCGTGTGCGGGTAGCCGAAGAGCTTGACCGCTTCTTCCGCTCCTTCTCGGGGCTGGCGCTGCGTGAGGAGCAATCATGATGTTTAGTAGTTCCACAGCGTAGACAGACAGCAGCAGCAATTCTGTGGATCTGGGCGTGGGCCTGGCTTAATCGCAGGTAGAGTTGGGTTAGGCTGAGCAGAGCCTCACGGCGGGAGGCGTCGGAAAGGTGGGTCAGCGACTTGTAGTCTAGGTCTAGGTGGCTCTTTCCGTTTTTGTGCTCATGGTCGAGAAAAGATGCAATGATGGCAACAAGGCCTGTGTTTAGTTTGATCAATGTCTCTGCAAGGGCTGCGTGTGCAATGGCTGTCTGGCTGTTAGCATATCGTACAATGCCATTGTCTTTTTTTTTTGAAGTTGTTGTTCTAGTAGTACTCACCATCGCCCTTTGCGAAACGCGCGCCGATACTGCTTTGGTAGCATTCAGCATACTTCTCCGCCACCTCAACGGGCCCTCTTCGTAAGCTCTTGGAGAGCTGGTGCTCAGCAGAGCTGGTTGCATCGGATGAGTCGCTGTCCTTGCGTGAAGACTTGCGCTTTTTTCTTCTTTCGCGCAGGCGCTTGAAGATGTTGAAACCATTTGTGAAGGCGTCTATGATACCGGCGACGCAGCTTGATACCTCGGCCTCGTCGGGCCTAGGCGCAGCTCGCGTACCTACACTGTCTAATTTGACGGCCATGGAATGCAAAGCAGAGTGGAACTGAAGAGAAAGAGAGGGAAACGCACGATAGGTATACAATATTCTAGAGGAAAACAAAGTGCGGTCTAAGCATCCATTAGCGAGGGTGAATGAAGAGTCATCTGCAAGTCTGCAAGCCAGATCACCCAGGTTAGCCTTAAGTTGTGTTTAGTCGAGTCGAGTCGAGTCAAGTCGCCGTCAACATGGCCGCCCAGCGACGGGGGCTCTTTACTTTATCCCGCTGGCCGCCCAACCCTTGCGCTGCACCGACGCCTGGTTGCCCGTGGGTGTGCACCAGCTTCAGCGTTCCTGCGTCTGTTACTGGGCGACATTGAAAGCCTGGAGCACCGCCAACGCCGCCGTTTTCGAGCCGAGTGCTGCTGGTAGCCGCCGGGTGTGCTGGCCCGCCATGAGTCCGCGCCGCTGATTGGCCATCCAGCTGGCGCTAGCTACATCGGTCAGCTTTAGTGGACCCTGGCCTCGGAGCCGACTCGAGACGTCGAGACCGCTCGTCTACACGTGCGGCGACATGGGAACAACAAAGTAAACATCAACACCTGCATGAAACATCCGGCCGCTGTGTCGTGGCCCTCAGTGGGTTCCTGCCATCATACCATCGAGGCTGCGTGTGGGGTGCAGCAACGCTCGTCCTGTCCTCGTTGGCCCACCATTGCCTCATTCTCGCGACAAAAGGTGAAAACACTGTCAAGACATGCGGTGGGCCTCCGTTGCCAAGAGAGATGAAGTGGCATTTCGCAGGGGGGCCCTGTCGTGCTCTATTGAGCAACAGGGCACTCTCTCCCCTTCGCCAAACCTACTACAGTACACACCCAAAACGCCTCGCTATGCAATACACAGTACACGTCCTTGATCGCCCTACCTTTCTGCACTCTACCCCTCACTGCTCGCTGTCTTCGCCATCCTCCACAGTCACCCTTCTCCGCGTCGCCGCCTGCCCTTCTGAACTGCTGGCTCCAACCGCAGAGCTCGACCCTTCGGCTTCTGCCCTCTCCCCCACGTTACCGAAACTCCAGCTAGACTCAAGACTGCTAGGCTCCGCAGCCTTCGGTGAAGAGTGAGATGCTTGCTGAGAAGTGCTCGTCCTCACTGCCGATGCCCCTGCTTGACCCGGAGACGTCGCATTGCCAGCCAGAGACACATCTGCTCCAGACTCTGCTGCTGCCGGTGCTGACTGTGTCTGCTCTGCCAACGGAGCCCTGTCTTGGCCTGACCGTTCTGTATGTGGTGATGCTGGTATTGTGCCACCCTCATGTCCGGGCCGTGGCGCTAGTGCCATCGGCCTCAGCGTCCACCCTTCCGGCAACGTCAGACCCTCTGGCACACCTGCATCGCCCTGTCGCAGAACCGGTCCCCTGGCGAAATAGGCTTGTGGTACAAATGTGTTCATGTTGGGTCCATTCAACGGCGCAATAGGTGGTAGTTCTTGACCGGTTGCCCCTGTCACCCCAGATGCTTGCCGGAGGCGGCTCAGTTCGTCAAGAAGCCGGTGAATAACCTCAAGTTGCTCGTGTTGCGCGTTGAGCTGTCGCATCGATTCAATGATGTTCTGTTGTATGCGTAGAATGTCTGTTTGAATATCGGCCGGATGCAGTGCAACAGCTCCTGGTATCGGCCCAGTGGGAAAATTCGCAGTGATGCCTTGTCCAAAGGTTGGTTGACCGGAAGGCACATTTTGCTGACCTGCGTTCTGCGCCGTGTTGTTTGCTACAGCCTGCTGTCGCATCTGCTGAATTGCGTTTTGCACAGCAGCATTGTCATGCTGCCCTGGTGGCACCCGGATATTCCCGAGGGCTATCCTGAGTGGGCCCAAGTTGAACACGCGCATATTGCCTGCAGGCCCGTTTGCTGGTCTACCATCCTGGGGTGCTGCTGGCTGACCCTGTCCTTGCTGCCCTCCAGCACCACCTTGGTGTCCGCCAAAGCCGCCTTGCTGTGCATTCCCCCCAAACATTGCCTGTAGTGCCTCGCGATTCGGTAGGTTCTGTTGTCCTTGTTGCCCTTGGTTGGCCTGGTTGTTGCGTTGAGTGTTGGGAGTGGCTGCCGAAGTAAGAACAGGTCTGCGGCACGTTGGACACACTTGCTGTCTCTCGAGCCAACTACGCAGACAGCTAAAGTGTAAGATGTGACCGCATGGGAGTTTCTTTGGGCGTTGTCGCTCATCCATCCTGCGGCCCTGCTGCGCGCCATCCGCACCAGGCTGATTCCACGGTCGCATCTCTTCACGGCAAACAATGCAGGTATTCTCTCGCTCGAGTTCTTCGGCTGTCGCATCGGGGTACCGTGTGTTCATGTCGCGAGTTGCGTTTCGGTACTGGACGAAATCGTTAATTCTCTTGATCAAAGACCGAAGAGACATGAACAAATCCCTCATGATATGAATAGGAATGCCGTAGAATGTCATGAGAATGATGAAGAAGCCCATGTACACGACTGACTTGACAAAGTCTGTCGCTAGATCCAGGTAGAAGACCCAGCGGCCCTTTTCTTCCCACCCGGGTACATCACCCTCATCGTCATCATCGTCCACCTCGACAGGCGCTTCAGTTCCACCAGCTGCAGCTTGTTGACGTGCTAGCTCGCTGGCGATCCTGCGGGCTTCCTCACGTGCCCTTTCCTGGCGCTGTGTCATGAACAGTTCGACGAGTGAGAGTGAGTATCGCAACAAGGTCGATATCGATGCGATAGCTAGGAGGACGTATTCGAAACCAAACATGACCATGACGCCAGGCCGGGCCTCAGAGAGGATTGAGTCGATACAGTATTGCATCATGAAGATGTCGAAACCGACCGAGAGCAGCAGGGAGCTCATCAAACGAGTGTGGAACAGTCTTGGGTTCGCTGGCGGTTGTTGTTCCAGGAACTCGACTCGCCCCTCTCCAATCCACTGCCAAACCTTGCCCGCAAGCAAGCAGAGGAACATTGTAAAGAACCATATACCGATATCGTCTCTGAAAATTGTCATAGCCAACAATGTCTCACTGACAGCAAACCATGCCTTGTCGTACAGCTGCTCCGTCTCGATGGGCCGGAGAGGTCCGTAGAAGAGCCGCTGTAGTCCATAGCCAACGCTCGCAGCTACAATGAGCATCAGGTTGACCAAGAACATCAAAGAGCCGGTGCTCTGGGAAATGTAGACGGCAGCCGAATAGAAGTTTGGACGCTCATAGTACGCGCGCATAAGCACGATGTTGGCCATAACGGCCGAGCCCTAGGCATGTGAGCATTGGCATGTACTGTCAGTGAGGGGGAGGCGTTTTTACCGTGACGTAGAGCTTAAGTCGGCCCATCGTGCTGTATCGAAGCGATCGAAAAACTAGCAAATACTGCGTGCCCCCATCTGAGAGTTGAGAAGTCCCATTCACGAAGTAGTGATGGTGTCGCGTTGCGGCAATGCTTACATTGGCGAAGGAAACGTGGTCGGAGTGGGAACACTTGTGATTGGTCGCGTCGGTGATGACGTTGGTCCGCCGCTAGCCCGCAGCATCGGCATTGCGACACCCATCTCTCGGCTATGGTGTACACAGTACAGCCTCTGGGCATACGCATGAACACATGTCATATGTGCAAATACTGCGCTAGGCACTGTTCGTGACACCATGTTCTTGCCACTCATGGATTTTCTCCTGAATGTTCTCCTGAATGCTCACCTGCATTATCTCGCGCACCAATTCGACATAGCCGTCGAATGTCATCCCGCACTGCCCTAGACTAATAGCACACGGTCTGGGCATTCCATTGAAGCAACCCGTCCCTCCTCACGATCGTTCCTGTGAGGCGGCTGCACCTCCGCAGGCCATCTCCACAAAATGCGAGCATTTCCCTGCTTTTTCTGTCGGCACCGTTGCGCCATCTGGGCTGCGTCCGCATGGCGACCTGGATCTCGGGAGGTTACTCGGTCGCAATGGACTCCACACTTTCCAAGGTCCGTTTTCGGTGATTTAAGCCCTACGCTACGTTGTGGCTTGAAGAAAACTTTTCTTCATTATGAACTAAATCCAGGCATCACAGGGACATTCGGAGAGATACCCGCGTCTTGAGGTTCGTCGCGGTCTCTTGTGCCGCTGTGAGAAAGGAAAATACATGATGCAGTCACTAACCCGCGCGAACAAAGTTCGGTAATACGGCCGCCTTCTACCATATGTGGAGAAATATGGGGCTCGAGCATGGCAACTATGCGGGGATCCTTCCAGGCTAACGACTGCATCCTGGTCCCCATAGTATCTGCCCAACCAACACTATTGACTCGTAGCCCCAGAACGAGTGCGCACCAAGACTGTCTGAGCGACGACGAGATGGTCTTGGATCTCGCTAGCATGATCGTATACCAGGTCAGGCAAGTGGGGAATTTTAGTCCGTCAGGAACAAATATGTATATAAAGGTCTGCATTCCTGCTGTGAAGTTTCGGTATCGAACGGCCAGCCCATTATCCCGGTATGTTCCCATTGCCTCCAAATTGCGATTCAAGCTCCCTCTACGTATCCTCTGTTCGAAAGCCAGATACTACGAACAAAGTTATGAGACAGAGCTTTTATGTACGAAGCGACTAACTATCTATAGTGTCGACATCATCTATCTCCGAGCACGATGTTTCGCTCTTCCCCTCTTCTGAGCCTTGCACTCGGCACCCTGTCTGCTGTCGGTGCACAGGAGTTGCCCGCTGTGCTGACTGCAGACATTATCCAAGGTTTGGGTAATAACACCCTCTTCACCAGATGGCGCCCGACCTACCATTTCAGTGGGCCCGCTGGATGGCTAAATGACCCATGCGGTATGATGTACGATCCTACGACAAAGACGTACCATTTGCATTACCAATGGCACCCCAACCACGTGAACTGGGGCAATATCTCTTGGGGCCATGCCACCTCCAAGGATATGATCACGTGGACTGATGTTGGAGGTTGGGAAAATGACCAAGCTCAGTCTCTCGGCACTGGACCCAACCCTGACTCCCGAAACTCGAGCTACTACGGTTTGGGCATCTTTTCCGGCAGTGGCCAACCGTACAACCTCCATGGTGAGCAGGACGGTACGCTCATCAACTTCTACACTTCGGTGCAGCATTTGCCTACCAACTGGGCTATCCCTTATATCCCAGGAACCGAGAAACAGAGCATTGCCATTTCCAAGGATGGTGGTGAGACTTGGGAGCAGTATGCTGGAAACCCCATCTTGTCCCACCCGCCAGAGGGCTGGAACATTACTGGATGGCGTGATCCCTTCGTTGAGGTATGATTATGTCAATTGGACTATGCATGTAACATCTACTGACTTGCGCCAGCCTTGGCCAGAAATGGATGCTCTCCTTGGACACGAGGAGCCACACTGGTACATGGCCATGGGCTCCGGCATCAAGGGAGAGAATGGCGGTGGCCGCATTCCCTTCTACAGCGCCCCTGCAAACAACCTGACTGACTGGACTTTCTTGGGTGCTCTCTGGGAGCCAAAGAGAAACGAAACTCTTGGTTCTCTGCTCGAGACTGGAACATACGGCTTCAACTTTGAGGTGTAAGTATTGATGGAGGAAACAGCGTCGACTCAAAGCTGACTGTGCCAGATCAAACTTTTTCTCTCTGAACGACGAGGATGATGATGTTCACTACTACGTACTCATGGGTACTGAGGGTGGAAACCTTACCTGGCATCCACGTGCGCAATGGGGTCTCTGGAACGAGGGACAAGTCAACAAGCGTGAAAATGGCTCGGTCGAATTCACTCCAGTTGCTGGTGGTGCGATCGACTCCGGACTGCTCTACGCTGTAACCAGCTTTGTGGACTCGAAGAACGACCGACGCATCCAATGGGGCTGGGCTAACGAGGAGAACAACAACTTTGCCATTACTCAGACAGGATACCAAGGCGCTATGGCCATTCCTCGGGAAATGTACGTCATCAAGACCAGCCACCTGGTCAACAACGACTCGCAGTTGACTACCAAGGGCAACACTCGTGTTGTCGAGCACGGTAACGGTACTTTTACGGGATACACTCTTGGTGCCCGCCCTCTGCCCGAGATTATCGAAGCTCTCCACAATGGCTCGGAGCCTCAAGTCATTGACGGCAAGGATGGTTGCGCTAGTGGAGACGTCTCCGGCAACGGTACCAGCCACATGCATCTCCAGGTTACCCTTTCCGACTTCACCGGCCCTGCTGGTGTCGTGATTGCGCAGTCGCCCAATCACGAGGAGCAGACCGTTGTGTGGTACAGCCCTGAGAACTATACCATCAACGTCGACCGTTCGCACTCATCTACGATTGTCGAGTTTGCCAACTACACCATGCTCGGCTACTTCTACCCGTACACTTTCGCCAACGGTACCACCGAGTCTCTGCACATGGACATCTTTGTTGATGGCTCCCTGGTCGAGATCCACGTGAACGACCGCTTCTGGCTCACGACCCGTATCTACCCTGCCCGCACTGACAGCACTGGATTCGGCATCTGGGCCGAGGAGGGCTCCACCGTCAAGGCCAAGGACCTCAAGGTCTGGGATATCGACTTCAACGTCTTCCCTGAGAGGCCAGAGAACTCGAGCAGCAAGCTCATCTATGACACCCCAGAGGAAACCAACAACTATGTTTGGTGGACTGGAAACTAAAACATCATGATAGACCTTATGTAGGGATGAGAAAACGCGATATTACTCGTAGCAAAATACAATTAGAACCTAAGAAATAATGTAAATATAATATTCAAATCACATCCTACACCCTGGAAACGAATTTTCATGTTTAAGCCGCAGTAGCAACCTGCTTCACCTCCTCCTTGCCCCCATCCAACCCCGCACTCTCCTTCAACTTCCGCAGCCTCTCCTCTTCCTTCTTCTTCATCTCCTCCTGAATCCGCACTCTCTCCGGTACAACCATCTGTCTGGGCCCCGTAATCTTGAAACCCTCAAGCCGCTCCTTCCCCAACGCCTTCATCGTCTTCCTCTCCACAATACTATAATTTCCATCCGGCCGATCAAACACAAACGGCTCTTTGACGCTAACAGGCGGATTCGTAATAACCCTCACATTACGTAATTGGTTATTCGACGCCGCATGCAGCATTAGCGGATGCAATAGGTACACATCGCCGACCACGCCTGTGGCTTCCACAAACGCATCGTCAGGCATGCTGGCAGCGAGATTGTTAAACCAATCCAGATGTTTTTCCTCGACAAAGTCTGGATTCTGCGCCCGAGGCGTCATACGCGGACTCACGCCGTCTGGATTCTCGTACAAATGCTTGGCCACATGCGGTATAGCGGCTGGACAAATATAGGTGCCACCACCGCCCGGTATGATATCAGTCCACAAGGGGATGACGAGGAGAGCTTGCTCGGGGCTATCGAGGTAGTGGACGAAGAAGTCGCCATCGACGTGCCACTGCGGCAGGTCCTGGGGGCGCACGACGGTGTTGTGGCCGGAAGGTGTGCCGAGATTGACGATAAAGCCGTCTTTCCAGGTCGAGGCGTTGGAGTCGACGCGCGCGGAGCCGCCGAGGAGGTTGCAGATGCCGGCCCAGGCCTTCGGGGCGAAGGTCGAGACGGGGAATTCGTGGAAGAAGGGCATGTTTGTGCGTTCCGTGTGCCTGGATGTGGGGGGTTAGTTGGGTTGGCTTTTGGGATCATGTTCTGCAAAAACACACATGTATATATAACACATCCGGATTGCAAGGAGAAAAGTAGAGTGAGGATAACAAACTCACCATGTTGACATGTCGTTTGGATCCATGCCCAGTCTCGTCCAAAGGGTTTCTTGCAGTTTATCGGCCTGCTCTCGTGTGAAGCAGTTGCTCAACTTGAGCCATCCATTTTCCATAAAGAAGTCGATTTGATCTTGCGAAAGCTTATGCTGCTCTTCTACGTCCGCCATCTTTTTCTTTCACTTTGATCTGGTTTCTTTCTGAAATATAGTAGTATTGCTCGTTGCCGGCGGACTATTAAAGTAAAATAGACTACGAGATAAGAAGTGCAAAACAACTTGCAGAGTAGAACGACGTTCAACAGTCTTATAGTTTACAAACCTAGACATCAAGATGGAGCTATGCGCGAGTCGTAGCCAATGAGCGTAGGTGGTAGAGATCGATAACGGCAGTTCTGCCCATTTATCCGGTGGAAACTGATTTGGCGTCCATTGACCTCGACACACGTGCCGCAGACCACAACGCCCGGCGGACTACGTGTGTTATGTGCGATTGCGGGGTGAACGGTTTGGGCAAGCCGGGCGGGGCTCCTCCGCGGCGAATCTAACGACGAACAATCTGGTTGGTATGAAGGTAAGCAAGAGACGTCATTGTATTGCGCCGCGGCAAGGCACATATAATCCCATGATGTTATCTGACAAAGCTGATGGCTTTGGGGACGGGGAAATGGGGGCGATGGGGGTGATGGGGAAGCGGAGAGGAGTAGAAGTCGCTAATTTGGGGGATTGGGGGTTGGTGTTCCCACCATGGTAAGCAACGCAACTTTTTTTTCGCTGACCCTGTTGGACAATAAAGTCCATGCGCTTCTGAAACTGGTAATTAGTACTACAAGTGACATGTCTCTAGTAACACCAGAGTTGAAATCTGACAGGCGGCGCTCATGTGGCGTCAGAAAACAACATGGTTCTTGCCCACCCTCATACATGTGTTGAAGTGTGTTTGAAAGCTGAATCCCTACCGCATGATCTGTCGCGTACTGTAACGCCTGTCACCGTGACTTCTTCTTCGCACTATGCAGACCTACACCGTCGACATGGGGACCCGAATGTACCTTTGTTTGAATAAGAAAACAAGGCCGAGATGTGGAAGATCACCAAAGGCGGTGTCTGCGTATCCAATGGATTCTGACAGACGCGTACTTATGCCACGACTAGACAAGGCCTTGGCTCAAGAACTGCAATGGGCTTGCTCAAGAAGATGGCTTTTGAAGGCGCCAAGTACCGGTCTCAATGGCATACGTTGCTCTTATCTGGAGAGTAGTCTCCACGTGTCTTTTTACGAATTAAATTGCTTTTAATAGCTGTCAGCTCTTGAGCACATCATTAGGCCCCGAGGTTCTCGTAACGATAGCGGGATTGTTGCGGGCCGAGCATGGGGACAAGTACGAAGGATGCTGCCCCATTTGCCGATGTTGATTAGAAATGGTTAAGCGACCCGCAAATAAGGTGAACGCCTGAGGACATGATTTGGTAGGACACCTGGCCTCTGGAAAGGCTGACACGCGCTCCAGGTGAGGCTGGTAAATCTAGGACAGCTCTAGAGATTAATGATATGCATTGGAGATGGGCAGCGCTGAAAGCTAGCCACAACTGGATCGGGAAGGCAGAATGAATGGAAGGACAAGCGGGCAGGATAGAGAGAGGGACCCCGGTCAGAAGGTGAGTAGTAGTATACGTAGATAGGATAGACTATGCAGCGGCCGAGGGCAGCAAGGCACACGTGGTCTTACATTGGTGAAGGTCGCATCAGGGCCGCTGCAGGGTACGTGGGTCCTCTGCGCACTAGGCCCATTTGGTGCTCCACTTTGAACAGGCAAGGTGTTCACACTGTATGTTCCGCCACGACGTCCAGTAGAAATAAAAGGCCCACGCCTCACTGTTCTGCTTCTACTTCTACTCCATTCGCTGTGCAGAGGACATTCAAACCCAATTCCTCTTATCACTTCGCCGTTCTGTCACGCCACACCCCACCACAGCACAATGAAGTACTCCACTGTTTGCGCCGCCTTCTTTGCCGCTGTCGTTGCTGCTTCCGATGTCAAGCAGCTGAAGACAGACGACTTCAAGGGCTTCATTGAGGAGCACGACCTCGTCCTCGCAGAATGTAAGTGCATTGCCACCCCGCCCCAGCTTCCCCGCTTCCCAATGGCGCAACTGACAATTGCCTCCCAGTCTTCGCCCCATGGTGCGGTCACTGCAAGGCGCTCGCCCCCGAGTACGAGACGGCCGCCACAACTCTCAAGGAGAAGGACATTGCCCTGGTCAAGGTCGACTGCACAGAGGAGCAGGATCTCTGCCAGGAGTATGGTGTTGAGGGCTACCCTACTCTCAAGGTCTTCCGCGGCCTCGAGAACGTGTCGCCATACGGTGGTCAGCGCAAGGCCGACAGCTTGATCTCATACATGACCAAGCAGGCCCTCCCCGCTGTCTCCGAGGTCACAAAGGACACCCTCGAGGAGTTCAAGACTGCCGACAAGGTTGTCCTCGTTGGCTACTTTGCCGCCGACGACAAGGCCTCCAACGAGACCTTTACCGCCGTCGCCAATGGCCTCCGCGACAACTACCTGTTCGGTGCCACCAACGACGCTGCTCTCGCCAAGGCTGAGGGCGTCAAGCAGCCTGGTCTCGTCCTCTACAAGTCGTTTGACGACGGCAAGGACGTCTTCACCGAGGCCTTCGACGCCGACGCCATCCGCACATTCGCCAAGGTCGCCGCTACCCCTCTTATTGGCGAGGTTGGCCCTGAGACCTACTCCGACTACATGGCCTCTGGCCTTCCCCTCGCATACATCTTTGCCGAGACTCCCGAGGAGCGTGAGCAATACGCCAAGGAGCTGAAGCCCCTCGCCCTCAAGCACAAGGGCGCCATCAACTTCGCCACCATTGACGCCAAGGCGTTTGGCCAGCACGCTGGTAACCTCAACCTCAAGATCGGCACATGGCCCGCTTTTGCCATCCAGCGCACCGAGAAGAACGACAAGTTCCCCTTCGACCAGGAGGAGAAGATCACCGAGAAGAGCATTGGCAAGTTTGTCGATGATTTCCTCGCTGGCAAGATCGAGCCCAGCATCAAGTCTGAGCCCATTCCCGAGTCCAACGATGGCCCCGTCAAGGTTATTGTTGCCCACAACTACAAGGACCTCGTCATCGACAACGACAAGGATGTCCTTGTTGAGTTCTACGCTCCTTGGTGCGGTCACTGCAAGGCTCTTGCTCCCAAGTACGAGGAGCTCGGCCAGCTCTACGCCTCTGATGAGCTCTCCAAGCTCGTAACTATCGCCAAGGTTGACGCCACCGCCAACGACGTTCCCGATGAGATCCAAGGTTTCCCAACCATCAAGCTCTTCGCCGCTGGCAAGAAGGACTCCCCCGTTGACTACTCTGGTTCCCGTACTGTTGAGGACTTGGTCCAATTCATCAAGGAGAACGGCTCACACAAGGCTGAGGCCACTGTTCCCGAGGCCGCTGCTGAAGGTATGTCTGATAAACTTGCTCACGAGGCTGTTGTCGCCAGCGAGAAGGGTGCTAATTCTGCTACAGATGCTACTGAGTCCGCCAAGGAGGCTGCCGCCGACGCCGCCGACGCCGTCAAGGACACTGCTGAGAAGGCTACCGATGCTGCCAAAGAGGCTGCTGCTGATGCCAAGGAGGCTGTCAAGGACACTGCGGAGAAGGCCAAGGACAAGGCCGCGAGCGCCAAGGACGAGTTGTAGATGCCTTTGATGCATCCGATTTTTTGATTGTCAACGGCGCCTTTTGCATATACCAGTACCCCTTTCAGCATCTTGCTATGGCTCATATGCTGAGGTATGAGTATTAAAACTGTTATAATTATATGGACGGGTTGGGTAGCGATTAGCTAATGGAGTTCCGGGTTCATATTTTGTTATATTATTGTCTTTGACTGCGATTACAACTGTGATTGGATGAATGTGATGAGCTATTCGTGTTGTTGACTACTTGCAGATTAGAGAGGTCTATTTTCGACTGTCATCTTGTGGCTACGGCAAGCGTGTATTAGATAAATGCCACCATGCATTTCGGGAGGATCGCGCCCTTAGCGTGCCGCGTCCCGAGATGCGATTTACAACGTCGTCATCCATATGTGTGAGGCGCCCAACTCCACCAAATGTGAGACCACCCCTCTGAGTGCGCTCTGTATCGACGTCATGCTGCCTGTAGTTCATCCCTCGATGATCTGTGTGCGATCCTCTCGATTTCCGATACCCGTGATTACTTGACCTTCTGATCTCACTGTTACGTCCGTGTAAATAATCCACTTTCAGCGTATACTAACACCATGTCTGCCCCTCGACTATTTTTACGTTGTACCAACACACTTTTACCACGAATTCAACCCGCAATTCGTAGTACAGCACTTTTCAGACCTACCTCTAGATACTTTTCCACTACACGAACGTTCAGTATGCCCGAGCAACTCAAGGCCAGCGAGGTGAACTCCAAGACGGACCCCTCCGTCGCAAAGCAATATGACGAAGAAACCCCCAAAGACCAGCAAATCAAAGACTTTTTCCAACTCGTCGACGGAAAGAAGATTTGCATGCTAAACACCTTCCGCGACGGCGTCGGTACGTACCTCTTTTCTCCTCCCCCCAAACCACCACAAAGCAAATAAGCATCTAACCCCCCAACCACCACATAGGTCCCGTAGGACGTTCCATGGCGCTCGCCCGCCGCGACGGCCCCGACCTCCTCTTCCTCTCCAACACGCACTCCCAAAAATTCCAGGACCTAGCCCAAAACAACAAAGTCCAAATCACCATCCAAGACACAAAGTCTCAAGACTGGGCTTCTATCACTGGCACTGCAACTACTGGCTCGAACAGTGACCCTCGCATTAAAGAAGTCTGGAGCCGCGGTGCGTCGGCGTGGTTTGGCGATTTGGGCGATGGTGTGCATGATGGTGGACCGCAGGATCCGAGGATGGCGCTGATTGAGGTTAAGAGTGAGTATGTGGTTTATTATCTTGCTGAGACGGGGGCGTTGGGGTATGTCAAGGAGGTTGTGGTTGCGAATGTCATGGGGAGTGTTGCGAAGACAGGGGTTTTGAGGGAGATTAAGGGTGGGGAGCTTGAGAGGGCTAGGTCTATGTGAGTTTTGATTGTGGGGGGGGGGTGAAGATGGTATGAGCTGAGTTGGACATAGATGTGCGGCGAAGCTTTGAGGTGGTTTGTTACGGGATTTAGTAAGGACAACTTGATGAGTTGGATGTTTTGTTTCTATAACTATGAATTCAGTGTGGGGGTTTAGTGTACGTCATGGAGTCTACTTTATTATTTTCCTTAAAAAGAGATTTCTGTCAGCTTTAGGGTGGGAATTTCCAGCCACCAACAGCGCTCAGATACTATTGTGCACGGTAGTCTTGTGCAACCAACTGATGAAGCTATAGCATCAGCACTTCCCGCTGACACATAACGATCTAATCCATTTTGTCGCTACAATTCCCGTAACCATCTGATCAGATTTGGATAGCAGCGTGGGGGTTTCATAAGTCACCAAAGAAAATCAGCTTACCATCCTTCCTAACGTGGATGGAAAATTCTACACTAATCTGACTTGGCGGATCATCCATGTCAGCAGAGCATCTCTCGAAAAGGGATGTAGTCGCTTTTACCACCAACATGCGCAGCATTGACCTCGGTGAAGTAATTGAGGTGTTATTTGTTGGTTTACGAATGGTGATGGCGGAAGGAGCCCAAGTGTTGGTTCTACGACGAAAAGCATCAGCAAAGAGCGCATAATGAGATAGAAATAGAAACCTCAGGTATAAAACGGTCCGCTTTCTCTCTCTCTCTCTCTCTCTCGGTGTATCAAGCAACAAGCAGTCTTAGATTCCAATACCAACCCATCGCCCACACTCTCCTCAAAACACCATTCCACAATGCACTTCACAACCACCGCCGCCCTCACCCTCCTCGCAGCCGTCTCGGCTTCCCCTCTCTCACCCCGTCAAGGAGGCGCCTTCGTCGCTGTCGGTCTCAAGTACTCGGGTCCAGGATGCACGGATTCGACGCTGATTAATGCGGATCCTATTTTCGGTAATGGAAACGTATGTCAGCCGCTTGACCGTTTTGATACTGGAGTACCGATTCGGAGTTATAGTACGTCGAGGGTTTCAGAGGGTTGTAGTGGTAAGTTTCCATTTTTTTTCCCATTTTCTTCAAGGGTCGAAGATGGGGGAGGGGGGGGGATGTGGGATGTTTTGGATGATTAGAAGAAAGAGAGATGGAGAGAGAGAAATGGAAAAATTGGGATGTAGGAGCTGATGATGGTATATAGTGGCGATTTATCAGACTGCGGATTGTTCGGGGACAGCGTTCCTAGCGCCCGTGGGAGGGTGTGTGACAGCCGATGGGCCTTTTGTTAGTGCATTTGTGACTTGTGCCTAGATGGTGGAGTCAAGCTTTGCCAAAGTGTATAGAAGGGTGGATAGGCTTCTTGAGGTGGAAGGTGTAGATTAGCTACTACCTTGAGCCTAGCAATGGGCATGTGGATAGTTGTTAGAGGTACGAATGGAGATATGAAAACCGTATGCATGAGAGCAGGTTCACTTTTGCCAATGTACACTATACATGTATATTCAAACAACAAGTCGTACAGGAGTAAAGAGGTTGGAAATATGGTGATGGACACCAAAAGTGGGGTGCCATGCAGCGTCATTGTCATTGCCCCGCATTCGTCATGACCAGCATCACATTTACAAAACGATGACCCCGTGTTTGCAGTATCAATGGTTGCACAGATGTCTTCTCTAGCTATATATTGCGTGCTTGGCCACAAAACACCTGATTCCCACTTTTCTTTGAATTCAGAAACCTACCACAGCTACAACACCAAATACAATTGAAAACCATGGGCAAAGACCACCCTGATGCGGACCTTCACCCAGAGGCTACAGGCCTGGCAGCAGCGACAGTCAAGGTATGTTGATAAAGAATATCATCTCTACGTCACAGGCCTAATATTACCCAGGCTCACTCAGCCGAGTGTCCTCTAAAGCTCTACTCGGGCTGGTTTTGCCCCTTTGTTCAGCGTGTATGGATTGCCTTCGAGGAAAAAGGCATCCAATATCAATACATTGAAGTCAACCCATATCACAAGCCCCAGTCCCTGCTTGATCTTAATCCTCGCGGCCTTGTTCCCACACTGCAATACCAGGGCAAGCCGCTATATGAGAGCACTGTTCTTTGCGAGTTTCTCGAGGAAGCATTTCCACAGCACACACCGCACCTGATGCCTACGGATCCCTATGAGCGTGCGAGAACAAGAATCTGGACAGATTATGTGGGTAGTCGCATCATTCCCGCCTACCACCGCTTCCTCCAGCATCAAGGCGATGGGCTCGAAGAAAAGCAGAAGGAATTCTTGAATCACATCAAGGAGTTCACGCGAGAGATGGACAACGAAGGACCGTTTTTCTCAGGCAAGGAATTTGGACTCATTGACATTGTGATTGCGCCCTGGGCCAACAGGCTATGGGTCTTTGATCACTTCAAAGGGGGTTCGGGTATTCCTGACGAGGGCAAGGGCGGTGAGGATGAGGAGGTATGGAAGAGGTTCAGGAAGTGGCTCGCTGCTGTTGAGGCTAGGAAAAGTGTCAAGGAAACGTTGAGTGACAGGCAGCACTATTTGCCCATTTATCAGCGATATGCAGAGGACCGGGCCCAGAGTGAGGCTGCAAAAGCAATTCGGGCTGGCAGGGGAATTCCTTAGGTGTCGAGAATAATGTTGCATGCGGTTGGAAAGGGGTAATGGTGAACGCATGTATGTGGCGGTGCTAGGCGCAGAGGTGTGGTAATTAGCCGTTATGGATTGCATCGTGATGGAGAGCCGATGCAGCATTCAGCTGGATGAGTGACGTCAAGCCGAGGGAAGCCGGGATGGTGTTTGGAAATGTTGATGTTGCCCCAGCGACGATATTGACAATGGGGGATCCACAACAACGCCACAACCGGCTAAGCGTCAACGCATCCACCTTTGAATCCACCCTCGACTCCCTTGGGCACGACGACAACCCTCTACCTATGCGCCGGCGCTCTTTCTATTCGAATTAATTCACACTCGCACGCCAGCCGCCGACATGTACGGGTACACCGCAGGCACGCCATGCCCGGCGCCCTACGGGTCAACAAGCAGCTACTACCCTGGCTACGGAAGTCAATACGCGCCTAGCTATCTCGACGACGACAACACCACAGCAAATATCGAATACACGACCGAGCTAAAAGCGGCCGCTCGCCAGGCGAAGCCCCGACGACCTATGCGCAATGCCACCAGGCCTGCGTTCAATCCATCACTAGACATTTTCGAGGATGTCGCACAGGAGGAGGAACAGCAACAGCGTGCAGCTTTCGAAGTGAAAAGGAGGAGTCGCGCCAGTGTTATTCCCGCGGCCACAAAGACAAAGAAGAGCACGATTCTCGCCCATCCAGCACAGAAGATGCCCAAGCCTATAGCGCCTGTCCCCGAACCACAACACGAGAAGCCCGCCCGACGACGCGTGTCGCATATGCCAAGTGAAAACTATGCTACCGAAGTTAATGCCACTGTACAACTGCAAGAAGACATTTTGGACAAGAAGGAGCTTAAGAAGCAAGGTCCTAAGAAAGAGGCGCGCAGGAGGACAATATACATCCCAACCGACGAGACGTCCTTGTTTACAATCCACCCAGGACAGCCCACACATGCACCACGCAACACTCGGGAAGCATCCCCCGATCTTGGACTGGATCTCGTCACGTTATCAGAAGAGGAGGGAAACAATCTCTTGCCAGCTTTGAAGAAGGAAAAGAAAGTCCCTCGCAAATCGCTCGCCGCGCCACCGAAACGCGGTCCTCTCAGCACAACATCGCGCTCGACGCAGAGCACATCTTTTTCGAGCGATATTGCAGGTTCAGGCGGTGGCAAGGAGAATATGCCTCCGGGTATGGCGATATATGAGAAGAAGAGCAGTGGGACGCATATTGAAATCAATTTCATTAAGCCAGAGGCGAAAAAGACTTTGGCAAAAGCCCCCAAGGTCCATTTCAGTGCACCCAAAGAGCCAGAGAGGATATTGCAGACCAAGAAACGAACCGAAGGAACGCAAAAGCGACCACGATCGACCGTAGGCCACGACGATGTTCCAGTAAAGGCACTTAAATCGCGAGCGGATGTCACTGCCTCCACTGCAAATAGCAGTGCATCTTTGAGATCAACCATCAAGACTGAACGAGCAAAATTGGCCAAAGCGAAGCGTGCACCGCTGTCTTCGTCGCCATTCCACACCGACAAGTCCCCGCCCACAGCATTACGGCGACAGAAGACCGGAAGTGTAGCAAGCAGCATTACCATGCTTCACGAGGTTGGCAAGCAGCCACAGCCGCAGGAGAAATACCCAGTACTACGCGAGGATCTTGTTCAGCCAGAACTGTACGAAGACAACTGGCTCACCTACCAAGAGATTGCCATTACACAGCTTCTGAACTCGGTGTTCGACTCGGCGAACAAGGACCCAAATGCTGAACAAACTCCGGAAGATTTGCGCAAGAAGATGCTTGATATATATCACGACCCTGCTATGCCACCCCTGCACAAGCGTCTGCAAGCTTCACTACAGTGTGGCGCGTTGAGCATACCTAAGGATCTTTTGGCCCAGACACTGAGATTGAAGGATGATGTTGGTCTGCGGAAGAAGTTCCTCAACTTGTGGACAAAGTCGTACGATCTGAATGCACTTCGGGCTGCAGCTGAGACAATTGTTGGTCGCCAAATCACCACGCCATGCCGTTTGTCTACCGGTTCCACTTGCTCGGACGATGGATCTCGCCAATATCGCGCTGAACGCCGGGCGATCGAGAGCTTCTTGTCTGCGTTCTTGATCAAGAACGAAGATGCGGTTCGCGTCAAATCTGGAGGCGGTAGTATTGCTAGTCTCACACGTGGTGACGATGATTTTGGATCGCAGGGCTGGTCGTGGCGCCGTACCGCACTGCGAAGTCTGATGTTGATTCTTCTTCTTGACCAGGCAAAGACTACGAATGCCTTGTCGGGCTGCTTGTTCCAGACAACATCACCATACAAGACGTCTGTGGAGATCCTCCACCAGCTATCCAAGATGCTTCTCCCTTCGCATGGCGACATTACTCGACCGCTCCACCATCTCAACTATAAGGTCGAGCATGCTCAATACCCGCTTCAAGAATACGCGTATCAGATTGAGAACATCGCAATCGACCTTCGCGATGGCATCATGTTCAATCGTCTGGTGGAGCTGCTACTTTACCCAGAACAGCAGGAGGAAACTGTGACACTCAACTTGCCAACCGGCGAGCTACTCACTAGTGATGTAGCACAAAAAGATGCTTGGATTCTGTCACAGCATCTCAAATACCCAGCTATTGGTCGTCCACAAAAGGTGTACAACGTGCAGATTGCCCTTGCAGCCTTGAGCAGTGTCCCAGGGATGCCAAGCGCAGCAGTCAGCGGTATTCGAGCCGAAGACATTGTCGATGGTCATCGCGAAAAGACTCTCTCCCTGCTATGGTCGCTTGTCGGAAAATGCAGGCTAGGAAGCCTCGTGGACTGGCCGCAGTTAGTCAAGGAGACTGAGCGCTTCCGCAGCCAATGGTACCGAGCAAGAGACAACTTTGAGGGACGAGTCCTCGATTCCGACAACGAAGAGCCAGAAACGACTGAGCTGGACGGAATGGCATATCACAAGCGCCTCCTCCTCTCCTGGTCTCGCTCCGTCGCCCGTCTCCACGGCATCCGCGTAGCGAACCTAACGACGAGTTTTGCAGACCCCAAAGTACTTGAGGTCATCGTCGATACGTATCTGCCTTCTAACCTCACTAGCTCCATCCCAGATGGCAGCAAATTAGGTCTAGGCGCAAAGCTCAAGGCAGTCGGTTGCTCAGCTTCCTTCATCGCACTCTTCACATCCCAAGACAAAACCACCCGCTCCATCCCTAGCCGCGACTTCACCCTCCTAACCCTCTCTTTCCTCGCTTCCCGTCTCCTCCCCCTTGCACGCACCCACCGCGCCGCAACAACGATCCAAACTGCATTCCGCCGCTTCTTGCTGCGCCGCCAGACCAGCGCGCGCATAAAGGCTATGCAGATTGCACACGAATCGGCGGTTGTTGCGCAGGCAAGACAGAAAATGGTGGATGCTGCGACAGTTATTCAGCGGCGCTGGAGGGGTATCCAAGAAGCGAGGCGCATTCAGTTGGAAAGCGATGTTTTGGCTTTCCAGGCGCTGGCCAGGGGCTGGGCGATTCGGAGGTGGGCTAGGCGCGTTACGGCGGGGAGAGTTGGGGGGAAAGAGAAGGTGAGGAGGGTGCGGGGTGGATGGTAGAGGTTTGGATGGAGAGTGCGGGAGAGGCGGGGGTGATATGATGTTTAACGATGGGATGGTGTTGGTGTTGAGGACTGTTTTTTCTTTCGGTTTTCTTGGTTGGATGGGGTGTTAATGGTCTTTCCGTGTGGTTTTTCTTTTTGGTTGTACTCGGACGGAAGTTTTTTTTCTTACGACGACAGTTGTAATGCCCTCTTTTTTACGTGTGTATATTTTCTGCCACGCTCGTTTGATATCCACATACTTAGACTGATTTATTCAATTGTTTTCTTTATGCTTGTCATACTTGATCTGGTGCTTGAGTGAATAGATGCATGGTAACTGGCATAATTCGTACGTGCGTATATGACGCTTAGATAATGGGAATCATAACATCTGCCAATCCTTGTCCAACTCGTTTTGGGGCGATGTAGGGCTCATGGTCGCATCAGTCCAATCGCCATCGACACTGTCTTCTTCTCCTTGGTCCTCCTTCTCCTTCTCGTCTTCTTCTCCATCATCATCATCATCATGCTCCTTCTTATCTTTTTCTTTTGCTTCATCCTTCTCCTCCTTTCCCTCCTTTCCCTCCTCTTCTTTCTCTTTGTCCAGTCCACTTGGTTCTGCAACCTCAGACCCATGCCCCTCAGTCTCATGTTTCTGTGGTGGTTCACTGACCGTCTGGAGCGGAGGGGGCCGACGTGCCATGGCCATCATAGTTTCTGAGAATACAATAGGATCGTCGTACTCTCTCGTCTCCCTGCTACAGCAATCATCGATAACCACTATGATCTTGACGTCTCTGCTTTGAAGAAGAATGCCGAACTCAGATGCCGCACTGCATAATTGCATCCCATTTGGACAGACAAGGAGGTAGAGTTTTTCAAATCCCGGAGCATGTCGTACAAGATACTCAGCGAGGTCTTTGTATGCTTTTCGGGTAGCCTCGGCAGAAGAGTCTTCCTCGTAAGGTTGGATGAGCAGACAAAGACATGAAATGTGTTTTCGGGCATGGGGATTCAGAGTTAACCATTTTAGTGTAGCGTATGCCTGGTATCGTCCGCGGGGGCAAGGGCCTGTTAAGAAAAGAAATTTCCGGCCTTGGTACACAGATGGACCTGCATCAGGGTAGATTTGGCTGCGTTGGGCTTTTTCTTCCTCTGTAGCCGGCCGTAGCATGTTGATGGGGCCATGGGGGGCTTCCAACACCCATAGATCTTCTTTCGCTGTCTTGAAGCGAACTACGGGTTCTACGCACTTGAATCGAGTGTATATGTGACCTGGTTCTGTGTCCTTTTGCGGAGAGAGGTCTGTTCTTTGGCAATGGCAGATGTCAATCTGTGTCAGTCCTGCAAATGTGGTATTGCTAGGGTTGTGTAGATGTGGCCAGTCCAAGGAATAGTTGATTGTCGTAACGTCGGCTGGCAGTATTGGTCTGTCCGCACATGGCAACATGGTAAATGCTGTCTCTTTGTATATAAAGAATGGTCGACCCCACCCGGTGAGGTTGAGTACAGACTGCCCTGTGCCGGCTCACTGCCTTGCTATGTCGTCAACTCGCCCAGCACGGGCTTGATGATAGAGCATGATGCATACCGCTCTTTTTGGAAGACTGACAGGCCAAGGCCGTGGAGTGCAACAGACGGGGGCAGATGGCGAGACGATGGTGTGGTGTTGATGTGTGGATGAGCTAAGGGCAGCGAACGTCATTAGCAGCAGGCCCATGCACAGCGTACCTACCTAGATAAGCGTCACGATGCACCGCGGCGGCATGCACCTCCGAATCATCGCGTCATGTGTGGAAAGGTAACACGGTCTTGTACTGCTGTCTAGATGCCCGCCCACCACCATCTTGATGGACGAGACTGGCAGCGCTGAGCCCCAGACGCCAACCTCTGAGGGACCCGGCTCGCCTACTACGCCCACGCAGAAGAGCAGCAATGCATCGGCCGCATCCGCCAGGGGCGATTCAGTAGAGTCGCACGACTTTGCCAACCCGACCCTGACCATAATACGAGGCTTTTCGCGCAAGAATTCGACTGCATCGCTGGCATCACAAGATGCACCCCCGCCCCCGCTGCCACCGCGACCGGCCATGGGCCTGCTGTCGCGACCTTCGACGTCGCACTCGACGGCGCCTTCAAGACCGCAGCTCCTGTCCAAGGCCACCACCCAGCTGTCCATCGCCAACACGCAGGCCTTTTCTGCCGACCCCAAGGATGCTTCGCCGACATCTACAGCACCCAGGCCGCGCAACTTTGGGAGCATCAGCATGGCCGCTCGCAATATAAACGATGCCGATGACAGCGCAAGCATACGCAGCTATGCGCCAACAATCGAGGCAGGAGGATACCAGGAGAGCATATTGGGCGAAGTCATGGGCCCAACAGAAAAGTCGGAGCAAGAAAAGTCGCTCCTGCGGTCTTTGGGACAGAGGTTTGCCGACGCAGAGTCGCAAAGCATGTTCCCACCAGATCCAGACTTTGAAGCTGCTTTCCGTCGCGAGTTTGACGACGTTGACGGCTTGAACGCTGACGGCTCGAACGAAGGTGAGCTTCATGCTGTATGTCAAGAGGGAACATTTTCTGACCGAGTCAACAGAAGCGATTATGCTCCAGTGGCGCGCAAAACTCAAGCATTTCCTCATCCTCTCCAGCGCCGGCAAGCCTATATACAGTCGCCACGGCGACGATCAATTGATTACAAACTACATTGGTGTTGTACAGACCATTATATCCTTCTACCAGTCCACTCACGACACCCTGCGAGGCTTCACTGCCGGTGATGTTCGCTTCGTCGTTATGACCAAGGGCCCGCTCAATCTGGTCGCCATTACGCGATTGGGAGAGAGTGATGCTCAGCTTCGCTCACAGCTCGAGGCACTATACATGCAGATTCTCTCAACCCTTACGCTGCCCAGTATGGAGCGCATGTTTGCTGCACGTGCAAACTACGACCTACGCCGCCCCTTACAGGGAACAGAAACCCTTTTGTCTGCTCTAGCAGATGGTTTCACTCGAGGATCTCCTTCGACACTACTGTCGGCCCTCGAGTGTCTAAAACTGCGCAAGTCTCACCGTACTGCCATCAACAACACATTGCTCAAAACGCGGTCGGAGAACTTGCTCTACGGTCTGATTGTAGCATCTGGTAAGCTCGTGTCGGTAGTACGACCCAAAAAGCATAGTCTGCACCCAGGTGATCTTCATCTCATCTTCAACATGCTGTTTGAAGCCGGCAGCGTCAAGGCTGGCGGGGGTGAAAATTGGATTCCGCTCTGCTTGCCTGGCTTCAACAACACGGGCTATCTGTACATGTATGTCAGCTTCCTGAATCTAGACGACCCAACGGAGCATATGCAGGAGCGGCCTCGCACGAGCGACGGCGCGGACGATGAAGTCGCGGTCCTATTAATTAGCGCGGACAAGGAGAGCTTCTTTGAGCTCCGACGCATGAGGGATGATTTAATCGAGGTACGTATTGATAAACTTTCCAGCCCTATGGCTTTGTCCGGTTTTTTTCGTATGACAGTGTGTTTGCAAAATCCCCTTATTTTCTGATTTCCAGATGGGCAAGGGCTCCGGACCAGGGAGGTGTCTTGTCGAGACGCGTGGATTGCTGGTCAAGTGCCCGCCCGTTTTCCATGGATGGTGGACAATCTGGTCGAATGATGTGGAGCGGGGAAATTGCCGTATCCTGTCATCATGGATTGTACATGGATCGCTGTCCCGTGTGAGGCAAAACGGCTGCATGGGCACAAAAAAAGAGGACGGCATGACGGGTCTCTGGATAGTGCACTCTTCGGCTTCGGAGACTGCGTTCCCCGACACCGCCTCTCGTCAAGACGCCGACCTGAGCCCTCCAGGGTGGTGATTGCATTTCGGATCCGACCACAGCATTGCTCACCTCCCTTTTCCTTTGATCGGCCCTGCCCAGAAAAGTTACCAAGTCATCGGTAATCACGCATGGCCACCCTCATCTGCCTGCATATCTCTCCCTCTTGTTTTTTAATCTATATCGACATGATAAAGGGAAGGAGATAGAAGAAGCATACACGCTAACGGGTGGTTCCGCAGAACTTGCAGCGCATCGGGGCTATCGACGCGATACGCAGCGCGGTCCACCAAGGCCGGCCCACATGCACTGACATTGTCCCCGGCAGCCCGCTAAGACACTTTCTGTACAAGTCGAGGGGAAACGTCCAATTTACCATGCCGAGCTATGCTCCATACTTTGCTGCAGATTTGGAGAAACGACGGTACGTTAAGCTGCATTCCTCACTACTCCAAAAAGCCACATTGATTACCGCCTCTTCTTTTTTATTGCTTAGCAATCTTTCGATTGTCAGCCTTGCGTTTTGCTTGGCAATCAAAGTGCATGTGGTCGTTGAGATCGCGGGGCTGGTTCTACCCTGTCCCATGCCAATCTCCCTTTTCCTTCTTGAGCATCAGACTTCACTGCATCTTGAATGTTTTTTTGCTGATCAAAGCGGGGGGAGGTGCGTGTATGTGTGTACTAATGTTGTCGCAGACTAATCAATCTCTACAACAAACTCCACAGCAACATCCATGGTAAACCCTCGACGCTAAAAGTGCACCACGAAACTAACACGACGTGTATGGCGCTCGCATGGAGCACACCGCTGTTTGAGCTATACGCTGTTGCGCCTGCGAATACGTCGAGGGCCGCGCTGGCGCAGAGCGCGAATAAGATCATCCAATGGGTACGGAGAGAGGAGGAAAGAGTCTTTATTATTGGCGGTGCGGTCTTTTAGACTGGACTGCTGTTGTCGTTGCATGAATGTGGCGAATAGGTAGTCGTGTCAAGTTTTTGTGGGCGACTGTACACATGGAGTATGTACAGCCGCAACAACAAACTAAATATGCAACATGCACGATATGACTTGATTTGTATTGGGATTTGCTTGTAGTAGTAGACTGGTATACAAGTGAAGGACTAGGGTGCGGGGTATGGGGAGAAGAAGATATATTGTCCTACATGAGCATACACGCATGGACACGGGTACTTTGTAAATCAATCTAGACACTACCCTTTGGTAAAGCGCCCGCAGCCTTCATCTCCCCAAACACATCCTTCAAGCTCCCCCATGTGTCTCTGTACCCCGTCCAGCCGTATTCACGCGCCTTGCTCATACTAATCACGAGATCAAAGTTCCTGCCGAGAACGAAGCCCAGGAAAGCCCACGTTGCCTTGTCAAAAGCGTCCTTGTCCAAGCCCTCGCGGTCTGCAAGTGCATTCCACGCTTGCCTGACATCGTCGCGCTTAGACCACTTTACAAGATCAATGTGGTTCTCGACGTGGCTGGGCTCCAGCACCGGCGTGCCCTGCAACCCTCTCTCGTCCGCAACTGCAGAAATAGGTGGTTGAGGCGCCATCTGCACAGTCGAAGACTGGCTCTCGGTGCCCACAACCATGTCTTTGATTCTACCGCTTATGCTCGCTGCACCACTGCCGCCATAGACACTCTTGAACTGGTCTGGTTTGACGGTAGTACCAAAGTAGTGTGCAACTCTTGGCCAGAGATTCTGGTAACTCTCGACATCGCCGTTTGTGATGTTGAAGGCTTGGTTGGCGGTACGCGGGTCGAGCGCTGCCCATGCGCAGAACTCGGCATGGAGTTTTGCGCTGGTGAAGCAGTTGAATTTGGTGTAGAAGGCGGGGGAGCCAGGGAACTCGATGCCACTATTGCCAGACATTTCCTTAGAGACGAGCACGTAGAGAGCCAAGGCTGCAGAGAGATTCATAAAGTTTCCTGATGCGAAGCCGATGACATCGTTGGGGTACGTTACTACCCATTCTTTGTTGTGCTTGGCGCAGAATTCGTGCAGGATGTTTTGCTGGTTGTAGTAGAAGTTTGGCGGCCATTTAGATGAGGTGAGCCAGGGTGCGTCTTCTTGCATGGGCTGCTGGGGCACGCCGAGGTGGACGCCGTATTGTTTTGCGCCGCAGACGAGGACGATTCGCTTGACTTGCGATATGGCGCCTGTTTTCTCTAGGGCACAGAGGAAGTTTGAGAGCATTCGGCCATTGACTTCCCAGGCGTCTTCTTCTTTATCCTGGGCGAGGTAAGCGGCGAAGAATATGTACTCTCCGCGCACGTTTTTGAGGTCATTGGCCATGGTGTCTGGGTCGGATTGCAGGTCAATATGGTTGTGGATTACGGTCTCGGGGTAGTCTTCTTTCTTGCTCCGCGAAAGTGCGTGTATGGTGGGCCATTGTGAGCGGTGTTTGCTGAGTTCGAAGACGATCTCGCGACCGAGGATGCCTGTGCTATATTAATACATGCTGACCATATTCTGACCAAGACGTACCGGTGGCGCCGGTGACTATCGCTGAAGGCATTGTATTGCGTAGACGATTGGTTTGTATATATTGCGAACTTGGAAGCGCAGTGGAAGTATAGCATAAAAAGTATGAAGACATTCATGACGTAATGATGTTTTCAGATATAGATATGTCACGACTCCACAATCACGTAATCAAGTCGCTACTTGGATAGGTGTGTATGTATGTAGTAGTAGAAAAACGCTCGCTGCTGTTCTATTCAGATATTTGCCCTAATCACGCTGTGCATTGCATGTAGAGTATTGGTTCACAGACATCAGTTGTAAGCAATATGGAATAGTCGATATATTTAACAGGCCAAGGCCTAAAAAGCGTATTTGGACGTCACGCCATGGATGGTACTAGCGCGGACTGTGAATTTTCATGCTCGAGTGCCAGATTACAATCATTCAAGTCTAGTACAATCGACATCTGTCTTCATCGATCCAAGAATAACGTCATGTTCTTGTTTCCCTATATGAGCAAGAAAAGAAGCGAAGCAGTTTTGTGAAGCAAGAGTCTAGGGATCAACACCATGTCTTTTCCGCATTGCCAGATTATCGATGGTGACATTTTGCGGCCACGCTGTTCGAAGTGCTTTCCTAGACCCGGTGGCATAAGAGGCATTGATGTCTCTGGATATACTACCAACATTTGGTTGGTTGGCTGCAGATTATCTGGCAGATTGGCGGTCGGTTAGCAGCGTGGCTTAGCCTGACAGCTGTCACATGTCTGACAAACTAGAGGGGGTGGCGGAAAGCGACCGGAATTCGGAACGGTGTTCACTTGGGAGGGCGTTTCTGCCAAGTGAGCTCACGGAACTGATTCTTTACTTCGTCTTTGAAATGGTCAATGGACGAGGGGCCCGTTCCTGAAGCGCAGTCAGTGGGTGATTTTCTTGTAGCGACGAGGCCGGCATACTGCCGCCACCATTCTTTTGCTCAAAGTCTGGCAGCCTGTTGATCTTGCGATATGCCTTTTGCACGGCTCGGTTGAAGGCGGGCGACCGAATTAGCTGTGACAAGTCAGTCATCCGGACAGTTTGGGGTTAAAGGGGACATGGACGCACACGTGCGACCGCCCAGGCCTGTACCAAGGTGTTAGTTTGATATCTTGGGCTCCTTTGCAACTCTGCACGTACCTCGAAGAGAGCAAACCAGGGGCCCATGGGCGAGTCAGTAGTGCATTTACAGTTTGATGACTGGCGATGGGATGGGATGGTGGGGATGCGCAGATGATGGGGGTTGGGATGAAAGGAGTGATGGCGGTGGTGGGTGGGCGAGGAGTAGAAAGATTGGGTGGGTGGGGGGCAACTTGGAGTGTTGGTAGAGGAATAGCGGGCAGCCATGCCATGCCATGTGTGTACTTACTACATCCAACGCGACCAGCGACCGCGCCTGGCGTGTTTGCAGGGGGGAAGGAGGGGCCTCAGGCGGAAGCTTGTTTTTTCTTGTTGCTGCGTTGTCATTCCATCTCACAGTCGGCCTGCCTTGGCCTTGCGCGTTCGCATTAATATTGTCTATTTCCCCCTCGGCGACGGGACATTTGCCATTAATCCACAGCCGTTTCCCATTTGCCCATCTGCCTGCCCACCCTTCTAGAAGGCCACGCGACAACGCTACGGCCGGCCTGCGATCCGCCATCTGCTCCCCCCCGATTGCGAGGCCGCTTGCAGCCCCTCCATTGCCCGGAAGGTCGCTGAAGCTGGTTCTTGGGAGACGGGCTGCCTCTTGCTCTGGCCTGGTCCATGGTAAGCTCGCTGACGCGGCACTGTGACTGAGAGTGTGACTGCGACTGCCATCAAGGACCAGAGAGACAGGACAAGATACAGACAAGAGACGCGCAGACGGGGACCGAGACAGAGCACAGCAGCAGATGCATCGTGGCGAAGCCTCATTTTGCCCGCCGCCTCCACTTGCAACCTCGCATCCCCCCTATCGCTAATTTCGAGACACGGCAAAGCGCCCTCAGACCCATCGTTCCGGCCTCTGACGCGCCACAGCCTGCACCCGCCCGCTCTTCCGCCACTTGGTGTACACGAATACATAGTACTCTGCCTTCCCCCCCACTAACCGCCTCCAACCCGCCCGCATACACGGACGCGGATCTCTTCAAACTGCATAAACTTCGCGCCCTCCGGCGCAAGGCAAAGCTCAAGGGCGTCCTCATCAGGACCGACCCAGCCATGGCCAGCCCCGACGACCCCATCTCGCCCACGGCCTCGTCCAAGCGCTCGCGCAGCAAGGACAGTCTCCGCTCCCTCACCACCTCGTCGCTCAACACGCCCGCTGCCAGTACCCCCGCCGCCAGCACTCACAGCCTCACCAACCCTCTCTCTGCCCCCGGCACCCCTACACCAGCCGAAAATGCGGGCATCCCATATCCCGCTTTCCTTGGCTCTACCAGAGACATCAATGCAAAGTGGAATCGCCTTGAAACGGCTCAGAACGACCGCCTTCGCGATAACTCACACCCGCCCGATTCAGAGGAGCCACCCAGGTGGGCACGCTGCGGCGGCGAGGAGTACGCTTTCCGCAACCGCTACGCCAACGTCGACCCATACCAGTCCAACAGAGTCCATCTCGCCGTCCCCGAAGGCCACTTTGACTACATCAACGCCTCGCCCATAGACCTTGTGACGACCAAGTCCCAAACACCCCTCAAGTACATCGCAACACAGGGACCCAAGGCTGAGACATGGTCGCACATCTGGCGCATGGTCTGGAAAGAGAATGATTCGCCCGCCGTCATCGTTATGCTTACCCAGACGTTTGAGGCCTACCGGGAAAAGTGCTACCCCTACTATCCCCAGTCGCCCTCGAACCCCGACCTGCGTGTCAACGAGCATGACGAATTCCAAGACGGCCTGATCCACAATCTTCACCTGGCCTCGTATACCATTGATGAAGAGGCGCGTACTCAGGTCCGGGAGATTGACATGACGACTGATGATGAATCCGAATCTAAGAAGGTCTGGCACTTGCTATTTGCTGGCTGGCCGGACTTTTCCGTGCCAGAAGGAGACGACCGCTCCGCTATGCTGAGATTGGTCGAGATTTCCCGTCTGAAGAACTCTGATAATGCTACCAACCCGCGGATTGTGCATTGTAGTGCAGGCATTGGTCGCAGCGGAACTTTTATCGCCCTGGACTGGCTGACGCAGGAGCTCCAGGAAGGTTCACTAGACGATGTACCCGAGACCGAGGACCCCGTTGTCAAGATAGTCGAGATGCTCAGGGACCAGCGTGCCGGTATGGTACAGTCCAAGGTGCAATTTCAGTTCATATATGACGTCCTTCGTGAACAATGGCGAGAGAAGTGGATTGCCCAGAACCCTGTTCAGGCAAGCCAATTAGGCCTTGTCAGCACCGGCAACACGCCTGATGGTGAGCCTGCACTGAAGCGCGTAAAGTCAGTGCACTATGGCGAAGACGAACATACTCCACCATCCGCATCCTCGCCTTTAAGCAGTAGTGGTGCATCCGACTCGCCGGATGCTCGTGCTCAACTCGAAGCTGAACTCCAGGATGCAGACATGGAGTATGAAAAGGGCAAGACTTAGTCGATTTTGCAGCCTCTAAAGGCACCACGCCCCGGGCGTCAGAAGAACAATGCAAAAAAGATGGTGTCGTGGTCCCTGCTCCCTCCTTCGGTGCACACATACAGCACCTTTAACGGCGGGGTTGCACCACGTCTTGTTGCTGCACCTGTTCCTCTACCTCCGATTATTACTACTCAGGGCTCTGTGCTTGAGCAGGTAGGAGGAGAGGGCCAAGTTGAGGAGCAACAAGACGGGGGAGCAGACGTCGAAGCACAAAAGAATCCCTCTTCTCACCTTTCTTCTCGCGTTCTTCAAAGTCAATTGTCTTCCCTAGTACGCTCGTTCGCTTCACCTTCCTCTTACGATACAACACCTTCTCCAGGCCATGTTGTCTTATACGCGGTTTTTGCCTGTGTTTGCATCGTTGGTTTCATATTCGTTTACTGGGACGAACCTGATAGACTTTAATACTTTCTTTGTTGTTGTTTTTTCAGTCTCTATTTTTGCTTTGAAGATGCATAGCCTTGCGGATAGATACCCCTTGGGATGGGTTTGGGTGTCTTTGGGTAGTCAGTAGAGCGACGGGCACGGGAAAGAACCGAAGCAAACAAAGACCAGGCGGCGCTAGTTGTGCGTATTTGGCAACTCTAGACTTTGCTAGTTCGTTCTTTCCTCTCCTCTCCTTGTCCTTGTTTCCTTTCTCCGTTGATCACAATCCATCCATGGTGGTGCCTGTCTTGGGGTTATATATTCCAAACTTTAACCATACATAACAAAGGTAAGACGCGTCACAAACACGTATCCCCTGCGCTCCCCTCCTTTGGTTGCGCCCTTTTTGTTACAGCAAGCAAGTACGGCGTAATAATAACCAGCCCGTCGCGACTCTATGCACCTTGAAAACTTTCGCGTCGGTATTATTACCAGTTTGTGCTCCCCTCCTTCCACTGGTCTCCGCTGATGCATCGGCGGGGTTCATTCGTTGGCGGTTGTCGTCCGGCAGATCGAGAGCATATCGGACTCGCTTCAGGGATCCTGTCGATCATCAATTAAGGGAGACTTCCCGTCGTTTGTGATTTGCTCACCTCTGGACTTGCTGACTTACCCCCTGTTCAAGTCTTGCCCTTTATTTTTCGTGCGTCCCCGAACTTGGGTTCCTCTAGGGCGTCGATAGCACGGACGGACGGAGGAACGGAGAGTCGCTCACCCACCCACCCATCAACGAGTGAACGAGACCAACCAAGACAGAATTTAGAGTAGAGGAAAGTATACTGTACTCCATCTCTAAGTTCCCATTCAGATCAGGTTTTTTTTTTGGCAGGCCGTTCCATCCATCCGACACACACTCTCTTTCTTTCTTTGCATTATCACCATTCTCCATGCAAGCCCCGTCCAACCCTCCCCCGTACAGCATAAACATGTACATATTGAGACCATGCCCTCGGAAGAAACTTATATTACCAATACCCCCCCATGTCCGTAATTTTCCTCAAGCAAAGTCACTTACCCCCAATCAAGTCAAGTCTGACAAAGAAATTTTCCAAAGATAAAAATTTTACACCCACACCCGTTGAGTGAAACAGCCCATGACTTGCCTGTGCCTTTGATCAGCCGGCGTTATATTACCGATATACTAGACACCCCCCCCCC